AGAATTAAAGGTTCAAAAGAGGAGTAAATGAATATAAGTGTCAAAGTAGGTTTAAATAAGTATATTGGTCAGTTAAATAGGTTCAAAGTATCTTCAAAAGTTTGAAAGTAGCATCAAAATTTCGACTCGGGATGATTAGGCATATAAAAATCGCGAATAATTCTTGTATATTTTGATACATATTTTTTTATTTTTTTAATATAGTGATATATATATACAATAACATGTAATATGTCAACGTTATGTCTGGTTTTAATTTTGATTAGAATAGAAGAATTTATTCAGTTATATTTCGGAGCATATTAAAATATGTCACAGCTGTCTTAACAACCTAAAAAAACACAACAGCTGATAAGTAAATAATTAATTAATTGTTTTTAATAATTAATTAATCTGTTTTAACTTATTAGGTAACGTTTTAATTTGAATTCATTATTAATTAATTGTTTTAATAATTTGCTTATTATTGTAATAATAATAAAATGCCATCAATTACAATTGACACAAATATCTCACATCTGTGTCATTAAAGTATTTCACAGTATTATATAATTTGTGTTTACATAATTTGCAGATAAATCCACTTTGTTTCTTTACATTATAATAATAAATGGTATTTAGTAAAAAGATAAAAATGCTATTTTACAAAAAATGTAAAATTAATGCAAATTTTTGGAAAAGTATGAGTGCGTTTGTAAGTCTGTATAATAAGTTCTTACATCACCGTATGTTTTGTACGACAAGTCCATGATTTTCCCGGCGGTGACTTTAGTAGGTAAGTTCGACATGATTATCACCAGCACAATCCCTCGCGCTTTCTTATCCGGAAGACGATACCATTTAAGCTCGCACGATGTAGTAGCTACTTTCTCCGCCTGTTAAATATTATCGTATAAACTCACACATTGCAATATTTTAAATATTTCAGTAGTATACGTGGAATAAATATCGCATGATAGCGACAGATAGCAATAGTAGTTTTACACTGTTGTTGTAGTAGACAAGTTTCATCCTTTAGGAGAACAAATGTCAAATGCTCGCACGTAGTGTTCGTGCAACAGCTTGCCAAAGTTTAGCCATTTGCGACTATCGATGATTTCGTTGTCTTGAAAAATTTTTTTACCAATTCATTTTTTCAGATCCAGAAATAAATGGAATTATCACGATCATGTCTGACAAATAAGAGGCGATAGTACGCAGAAAACCCAATTCCTAAGTTGCGACAACAGTTGAAGTGCGAGCTGATGCGTTGTCAAAAATGCGATGTCAAAAAATCACTAAGAGCATCTATCTTTGCGATAAAAAGCCAGCGTTTGGCACTTGTTCTTCCGAAAGAAAAAACTCAATAACAACAGCAATGTGACACTATTGTTGCTGTGCGTCGCTTCAAATATTTATCAATCGCCTCTCGTGCTTCAATAATTGCATAAAATATTTAGTATGTTCCATCTGTTTGGGGTAAAAACTATTTTGTGATTTTCGCGCAAAATGATAAACAAGTTAAGAAAATTACAAAAGAGAATAAAAGAAAAAAAACAATATTGCCATATGTTATCGGATGTCTTATCGTAGTACGTCAGAGTGCGATACCTGAATGGTAAGCTGTTCACCGGTGTAACAAAACATGAACATATTTATCATCATAGATATAAGCGACATCAAATAACTGCATATGGCTATTGGATTGCTGTTTTCCGATTCCTATAAACAGATAAACTTTTCAAAAACTATCATTACGTTTACATGCGTGCATCATTAATTGTGTAAACTTGCTGTAAAATTATTATGTGACGTAACGCACTGTTTGATTTTCTATTAAACATTGAAAGATATTTTTTGTTCTGTATCATGTGTGGGTTATCTTATTAAAATAAAATTACAAACCACTATTATGCAATATCCTAAAATGCAGACGATTGTTGTACACCCCATCAATTCTATCAAACACATTTGTTGCAAAGTATGTTCCACCAGTCGCAAAAAACTGAAATGTATGGTTGTTGATGATATCACATCTATACAACTTCTTTTTCAAAATATAATACAGCAGATTGTTGGATACGTATTTGGAATACGAAATTATGATTGTTTATCGGTCAAATAATTGTTCTATAAACTTACAATAAATATATGTATAATCAAAATCGCACAAGTTACCGCAAACGTACTTTCGTATTCTTATCTGATGTTCCACCATGTCGGCCAACTTTCTGTTCATGTTCTGTTCATGTTCTGTTTCATGCCACTGTTCATCGGCGAGATTTCTCATCAGACCTATCAGAATTCGTAATTGTCCGCAAGCGTGCATTACAAAAATGATTACAAGGCCGCACACACCCGTCGTAATCGAAAAAGTGACCAAACCCGATACAAACTGCAACGCAAAAATCGTCTCGTAAATAGGACTGACTTGCGCGTTGATAGAAAAAAAATATCCCGGACACGGTAAGGGCTTGATCGTGATGTTCTGCGCTGTGACGATTTTTCCTTTGACAAACGGCAGGATCGATCGGAAGGAGAGCCCGCTGCTGTACATGAAGGTCGCGCAAAGCGTGATCAAGCGTCTTCCGGTTCTCGCGTATTGCATCATTGTGTCTCGCGAGTTTACGCTTCTGACGTTTCTCCAGTCCTCCTCGATGTGCTTCAGGCAGCTCTTGACCTGATCCTCGCGCAGCACTAAGTTAACATATTTGCCGATGGCCATGAAACCGAAAACGAGCAGAGGCGTCGTTTGAATTTTGACGCGCATTCTCTTCTCAAACAGCCAGAAGAGAGCGCCGGGAATCAGAACGCAGTAAAGAAGAACGTACGAAATTAAAATCAACAAAATCTTGCACACTCTCTCGCCGATTGATCTCTCACCGAAGGACGGCCACACTCCGAGCATTTGTAGAATGTTGCGCGTCAAGTAGGTGATGTACATTATATCGTCCTGATAACGTTCGTTACGCGACATCTGTTCTTGCGGAGAATAAAAGCGATGACTACGTAAACAATGATGAAAAATCTCTGAACGCCGGCTAAATCACAACTGAGATAAACATTCAATAAAATGAACTGGTTGCCTGATCGCGCTTGCGCGTTTTAAAAATTTAGATGTTGCGTGTGGAAAAGGTTTCAAATGCAACAAAGTTCTCGAGTCAAGTTGCTTACTGAAGGGAACAGCATCGTTTTCCAGTAGAATAGTTTTGTTTGTCCACGTGTCTTTTTTTTTTTAAGCGAAACTAGAGAGATACAGTTAAAGTTGCAACTTTGTTCTTCTCGATAAAACCTGCAATTTCGTTCTTTCGAACATTGACCAATAATAGTCTAACTTATATTGTACAATATACGTGGATCTATTCGTGCTACACTCACATGTGAAAGTCAACGAGAATAGACATAGAATGTGTGTGTGTGTGTGTGTGTGTCTTGTCTACGGACATTTAATACAATTATTGTGTTCTTCAACTCTGTTGCTCAAGAGAAAAAAACTTTACATGTTCGCGTTTTTCTTTATACAAGGGAAATATATTTCCGAAATATCGAGAATATATAATACGTTCAGATGTTTCGTACACACAATGAAAATTTTTATAAGATCGGATACATTTATGTATATCGTACGCATGCATATATCACAAGTGACACACAATATTATTTTACTGTTTTACGATACATATGTAACAGACACATCATATAGAGCAGAAACAGCGTTCTGCAGCGATCTGCGTCTTAATCCGTTACCTTTAGAAGCATATTAAAATATGTCACTGATGTCTTGACGATCTGAAACACGATTTTTTGCAATTATATTTGCCAGTATGATTTTTTTACTTCAAATAGATTTTTTATATTTTTTCTAAGTATTTTCTCAAAGAAGCTTCGAGCAAATTATGATAAATAATTGTAGTATAAGTAAATTTTACATTGTGCAATTTTTTACAACGTAGCAAATTTTTGTTGCAGAATTCTAGACAAGTTATTGAATGTGTTCGTTCGAAATGTGTTTCTTACATCACCGTACGTCTTGAACGACAAATCCATAATTTTCCCGGCGGTGATCTTTGTGGGTAAGTTCGACATGATCATCACGAGTACTATTCCGCGCGCTTTCTTATCCGGAAGACGATACCAATCGAGCTCGCACGACGTAGTAGCCACTCTCTCCGCCTGTTGTTAATGTATTTTTTTGCAATTTTCTTAGCAAACTATAATATGTAGATAATAAACAAGTGTATGGCGAAGAAATTACTTCCAAAAGTAAAAACAAATAAATAAAATATCAAAACATTAAAATATATTTAACTTAATTTAATAAAAGCAAATTGATATTAGTTAGTATTACTTATTAAAAAATTTTGACAGTTTGTTCCAACAATGATGTGAAAACACAATATTTATTGTTTTTTACAAACAGATGTTAATGTCATACGACGACACATCTGTGAAAAAGACTTTACAAGTTGGCACAAATAAATATAATACCTCGACAGTGAGTTGTTCACCGGTGTAACAGAACATAAACATGTTGATCATCAGTGATGTAATTGTTATAAAGTACGAGCACATAGCTATCGGATTGCTGTTTTCCCATTCCTGCAAATGCAACGGTTCTATAACCAATATGTGTAAGTGATTGCAAAAAACATATACATTTAATATCACGAACCATTATTATGCAATATCCCAGAAGACAGACAATTATCGTGCACCCCAAGAATTCTATCAAGCACGCTTGTTGCAGGGTATCCTCGACCAATTGTAAAAAACTGAAACGTCGACGGAGGAATTCGTTTTCACACAAACCAACTTATCGGCAACGATAAAAATAATTATGGTGCGTAAAAATGTAAAAGAAACAGAAAACAAAAATCGAGTCGATCACCTTCGTATTCTTATTTGGTGCTCGACCATTCTGGCCAGTTTCTCATCTACTTCGTGTTTTTTGTTTTCCCACTGCTCTTCCACGACGTTCTCCATCAGCTCCACCAGGATCTTCAGCTGACCGCAGGCGTGCATCACGAAGACGGCCGCGAGGCCGCATATACCTATTGTTATCGAGTAAGTGACTATGCCGGATAAGAACTGAATCAGGAATACCAATTCGTAAGCGGGACTGGCTTGTATGTCGAATGAGAATAAATAAGCCGGACAAGGCAGAGGTTTGATCGTGATGTTCTGCGGAGTGACGATCTTTCCTTTGGACAACGGCAGAATCGAGCGAAAAGACAGACCGCTGCCGTACATGAAGGTCGCGCAAAGCGCAACGAGACGTCTACCGGTCTTCGCGCATTCTATCATCGTATCCCGCGACTCGATGTCGCCAACAATTCTATAATCTTCCTCGATGTGTCTCAAGCAGCTTCTGATATCCTTCTGACGGAATATTAAATTGCCGTATTTGCCCGTGGCCATGAAGCCGTAGAGTATCAGCGGGATCGTTTGAACTCGGACGCGCGTTCGTCTCTCGATCACCCAGAAGAGAAGTCCCGGGATCAGAACGCCATAGAGAAGTGCGTACGAAATCACGATCAGCAGAAACTGCCGGACTCTTTTGCCGGTGCTTTCTCTTTTAAAAGACGGCCAGACTCCGAGCAAGCTAAGAACATTACGCGTTAATTGCGTGATGTACGTGACGTCGTCTCGATAATGCTCGTTGCGCAGCGACATTGTTCGGTTCATTTTGTGTATGTGAAATTTATAACACGCAAACTAGATCACGACTGATCGTTGCGAAAGGAGACCCAGCCAATCGTCGTTTTCTCTTGCGCTTGCGCGTTTTAAAGATTTAAATCGCGCAAAAGAAGAAGAGAGGGTTCGGACGACAGCGAAGTTCGCGAAGCCAACTTAGTTGCCGAGGGTCGGAATCGCTTTTCATGGAAATTATTTCTGTGTTCGCGTGTTGTTTTTTTTTTTTTTTTTTTTCTGAATCGCGCAATCTCATAAATATGATTGACTTCAACTTTGTTTCTTTTTGTATCCAAACTCGCTATTGCTGCCATCAGGAGCATTGACCGCTGAATAACATATTGGGATTACGTGGTATAGATTTGCGCGCTTCGATTTGTTTTTGTTCGCGCACAAGACTCGTTACGTTAGCAACGAGATTGTTCCCACACGCAATGGTAACAACATTGTGCAACGCGAGTGAAGTGAGAGTAATGTATTCAATGTAATATATTTTTAATGCAGTGTGTAATTAAACACAAGTGTACATACATTTTGCACGACATCTTATTTACGTTCCACAGGTAGTTGCAGAGAAAAAAATAAACTTGACAAACTTGCGATCGCGCGAAGAAACAATAGCTTCCTCCTCTCGAGAGCAGCAAATGTCTACGCGTTTGAATTCAGAGATAACCGATCGGAAAAAATTGAAACACGTCACGATCGAACAACCTAAAGCGTGAGGATCTATGGCTTTTAGTTCGTTTTTAAAAAGTCAATTTACTTATTGGCCAAATGTTCTGAAGAAGAAGTCGATGAACTTTCCTGTCTCTGATTTTTAGTCAGAGAATTTGTCACGGCCGTGACTAAAGTCAGTGCTCGGAAACTTTGAGTCGGAAACTCGAGAGTTGCTGCATACAATATTCTTCTGTCTAAAGGAAATAAGGAAAGCTTTGCTTCGAATTTCATCAAATCTCACGTTTTGATCTTGAATTTTATTAATAAGTTTCTGAAGTGCTCGCTTATCTTCCGTCAGAACAGCAGAATTATTTTCTCTACATGTCAATACTGCGATTACTTCGATCTTAAAATGTTGCTTGTTCTTAGTTACATCTTTTTTTTAAAGAAAATTATATAAACTATCGTAAATAACATATTTACGTGGGAAATGCCAGTTTTCGGAAGGTCTTCTCACGCCGCATCTCGCAAAGAAAATTCGCAAAGCAATTTGAAATACGCCATCGACGTCTTTAAGATCTACAACACGTTGCGTTCAATACACAACTAAACCGATACTTCGCGATAAACAAGAACAAATTACATCAATTCAATCTTTATAGGGGTATTGAACAATATTGTTTAATTGTTTATTGCTTGATTATTTCTTAACGTCAAGAGATTAGTTACAATCTATTTATATAAATTAATACAGTCTGTATATAGAAAATTCGGCACAAAGTCTGAATTGAATTTCGCGTTGTTCTAAACGACATTACTCACGAAAGAGAACGTAGGTATGGACATCGTCATTAGTTTGCCGGCAGTGAGCGCCACGGGATATCGAGACATCAAGATCGGCATCATCAGTTTGATCGCTATTTTCGGCGGCATGCGATACCATTCGATCGAGTAGCAAGCGGTTCCCACTTCCTGACACCGCTCTTTCAGCAGATCGCCGATGTAGCAGAATATGAACACGTTGAAAATAACCGACACGAGTCCGAAGGCGTACATGAAGATCTGTACGAACGATTCGTTGTTGTACACGTCCTAAAACGGGAGGTAGACACGGTTTGCCGAATCGTTTGTAATATCTCTTGAAATTTCTGAAAACTTCCTATTGTTTGTCAAACGTACGATTATGACGTAGTAACCGAGTAAGCATATGTTGCACGACGCGTTTACAAATTCCACAAGACATATCTCGATGAACAGATTGCTCACGACAGAAACCAATCTGGAAGATCGTCAAAACACAGGTTGCGCGAAAATACATATTGTTTACAATATGACGCGTTACTTGATATGCTCCTTACTTTAATAAACGCAAGTGTCGCGTTACGGCGGTAGTGATCCGGTCTTCGATGGAACCGGCATTGCGTTTGCCACCGTCCACGATTTCCTCAAAAACTGACGTTAATACGTTGCACTGACCGCTCACGTGCGTAACTAAGTTGGCCATTAAGCTGCAAATGCCGCAAAATACGCTGTCAGTGGTATAACCACCCAGAAGTTGTAACAAGTACACGATCTCGTACACCGGACTCGACTGTATACGATAAAATAATGTGTAATAATGTGTTTGAGTAAAACAATAAAAATTTAATTTAATTAATTAAAGACGTATCTATACATATATACGTAGACACATGTGTTATTTATTTATTTACTCTTTTCTTTAATTTACATATAATTATGTCGACACGTGTAGAGAGAATAAATCAATAAAGGAAAGAATCACATCTTGCAACCAAAGTTGAAAGCTCTTACCTTGGAATCGAGCACGAGAAGCTCGCAGGGCGACGGGTGCACTCTTATGGTAACGTTGTCCTCGTTGATCATCTTCGGCGTGACTAAAGGCAGCGTGTGATATAGTATGTCGCAGCTGAACATGAAGGTCATGGAAACGATACCGAACGTGCGGCCCATCCTGGCGTTCTTCAGCATGACCTCGCGATCCTCGGCGAGTAACACGCTCCGCCAGTCGTCGGCCACGTGACTGATGCAGATCTTGAGCTGATCCTGATGCCACAGCAGCAGAACGTATTTCGCGAAGACCATCAATAAGAAGAGCAGCGAGCATGACACGCGTATTATCAGATAGACGCTCATCTTCTCTGTGACAAATGTGTTGAGCATCCACGGCACAATGCTGAACAGCATGAGGAACGTCGCGATCAACATGGACATTTTGTGCCGAGCGATTTTGAACCGCGAGGTCTCATCGTCGGTCAGCGGCCAGGCGCCGATCGGTTTCAGCAAGCAGACGCTGATCTGCACGGCGTAGTAGAAGTCCGAGGCGTGCGATTCGTTATGCTTTGTTGTATCATCGACGAGCGTGTTCAGAAGCACGCTTCGCGATCGATTACGGTCGAGCATCTTCGTGCGCCGATGTAAGCACGTCGTCGTTCGTCTCGATCTCTTCACCAAATCGATCGCGAAATCAGAAAGAGCCACGCGGATTTCTGCCACGGGACATGCGCAAACTTCGCAACTCAACCTCGTGAATAAAAAGTCGCGACTCGCAATTTGCATTTTGTAAAAGGTTTGGTTTAAGTTTTTTACGGGGAAAGCAGCAGCTGCGTTCGAAATGAATCAGAAAAGGGTGAGAGACAGAAGGGAAATGATTGCGCATGCAGCGATGATAGCAGCAGAAAAACTTTTTTTTTTTCCAAGGAGAATCTTCGAGTTTACGCACAATGACAATTTTCTGAAAGTTTCTGATATTTTCCCCGCAAAAAAAATTGCACAACACATTAAACGCGATAGCTTTTCGCACAACTTTGTGCCCCTTGATTTTATTTGAAGTTTCCATAAGACAAGCACGTGTTTCTCCCGGCGCAAATTCTCGCATAAATTTCTAAAAATATTTACAAACATTTTTACGAACAAATGTCTCTTATACTACTTTTCTTAATTAATACTTTCGCAAAAAGTTTCAGTTGTTGTTGCGTGCTTACATAATGTCCCGCGTAGAAACTTCGCGAAGCAAGTTGAAGTACGCCATCGACGTTTTTAAAATCTACAGCGTAAAATATCGTCACTTTTGCTGTGTTCAAAATTAAAAAAAAAAAAAAAAAAAAAAAAAAAAAAAAAAACAGACAAAAACACTTTTGATAAATCAAACCGATGTGCATCTTCGAGTACTCACGTTGGAGAAACTGCTCATGGTCATTTTCAGCATTCGTCCGGCGGTGAGTTCGACCGGATAATTCGACATGATGATCGGGAAAATCAAATTGCGCGCTTTATTCTGTGGCAATCGATACCACTCGATCATGTAGCACTTGGTGCCTATCTTTTGACAGTGATCTACGAGCTGCTCGCCGATGTAGCAAAATATATATATGTTAAAAGTGATAGATACAAAGGCGAGGAAGTACACGAAGATCTGCAACATCGATTCCTGATTGTTCCAATCCTGCGCAATAACATATCAAATGAATGATAAATTAACTGAACCAAATATAAACTGTACGTTTATTTGTGATTAGCAATCTCCTCTTTATCTCCTTATTTTTTTTAGATAATCTTGAGACACATTTAATTGACGTACCACGATAACGTAATAACCGAGTAAACATATGTTGCACGAGGCGTTCACGAACTCCGCCAAACAAATCTCGTTCAGCACCTTGTCTATGTCAGAAACGAATCTGCAACGCAAACGGTGATCGAGAAAAATTGCGAACAAACGTGACGTTCCGCCTTACCTGAGTATACGGAGATGACGTGTTATAGTGGTGCTGATCCGTTGATCGATGGTGCCCCGATTGTGATCACCGCCGTCGATCATTTCCTCGAAGAAATACATCAGGATCTCGCACTGGCCGCACGCGTGGCTAACGAATTTCGCTGTCAAGCTACAAATGCCGCAGAACACGGTAAAGAGAATAAAACTTGAGCAAAATTCCAGTGCGTACGCCACTTCGTAAACTGGACTAACCTGCGCGCAATAATTGAACATCACGACATTAAAAACGTCGTGACTTGGTATACAAAACATAATTTTAAAAACCAAAACAAAAACAAAGATAACATCTGTAAAACAATAGAAAAATAGAATTATTAAAACAAACTTAGAAAAAATGAATAAAATGAAAACAGAAATCAGTGGTATAGGAAGAACATATATTTTTGCGGAGCACTCATTATTGATAAAAATATTTTAATTTTTTGAAAAGAAATTATATCTCTTCTCTTTTTCTTCTTGAATTTTCTAAATGACGAAAAAAAATGAGGAAATTCAGATATAATTACAAGGTTGGAAATATATATGTCGCGACTACATGAGTTTCGGAAGGAGTTCAACGTCGTACATCAAATTGACCTGAACGTCGAGGAAGATCAAGTCGCAGGGATTGGGGAGCGATCGAATCGTCACGTTGTCCTCGTTGACGGCAAACGGCAGGATTATGGGCATGCAAGCGTAAGGCAGACCGCTTCCGAACATAAACGCCACCGAGATGATGCCGAAGAAACGTCCTGCCTTGGCGTTTGCCAGCATGATCTGACGGTCTTTGGCCATCGTCGTGCTGAGCCAATCTTCGATGATTAGGTCGATGCACGATCTGATCTCGTTCCGATGGCACAGCAGCAGCAAGTACCTCAGAAAAACGGTAATCGAGAATATCAACGGACACGCGGTTCTCACGATCTCGTAGAAACTCATCTTGGCGGTGATGATGCATGTGATCCACGGAACGATCATGAAGAGCTGAAGAAACGTAACGATCACGATCGACGAGCCGTGCACAAGAGTTTTCAGCTTGGTGGCTCGTTGCTGCAGCGGCCAGGCACCGATCGGCTTCAACAGCCAGATGCTGACCTGCGCGGCGTAATAGAAATCCAAAAGCAGATCGTCGTCCCGCACCGAGTTCGTCTCGTTCATGATCGGGCGTGAACTTGATGATCACTCGACGGCGACTACTAGCGGTTACTCATGAAAGGTGAACAGTCACAAAGGTGTTAGTAAGCATGCGCAAGATGCACTTGTCAGTTTCTCCGACAATGATTAAAACAATCTCCGATTCTCACATTCGTGACTCGCATTCGTGGAAACGTATCGATGAGCTTAAGAAAAAAGTATAGTTCTGGACAGCAAAAAGGGGAGATACTAATAGTACTTCGAGAAACTTCAAAACGACGGGGACGCGCACGGTTGCGAGGAAAAAGTTCGACGCCGACCGGGGGATCGCGCTTCTCAGTTTGATCGCGTTTCTTTCTGCAAAAAGGGAGAAAGAGAGAATTGCGGTTGAATGTTCGCGATATGTTATGTCTCTAGCAATTAGTAACGCACCGTAGCGATTTTATTTGACTTTTTTTATTCAACTCGCAAATGTCGCCTTTGACAAAACGCGGATAAGACGAAGAAGTGTTACAATCTGTGTGTGATCTGTGTGAGTGAAGGTAAGAATATCGATCTTTTCAGCGAGATACATTTTACAGTTCAATGAGATAACATGTAATCTCTCTCACGATGCGATCATTCGAATAAAATTCAAATACGCCGCTGATGTCTTGCATACCTGTAGACACGAAACGACAATTGAGTTGCTCGGGAAACTGTTCGGATTATCGTAAAAGAATAGAACATACTCACATCGCAAAAACTCTGGAGCGAGATATCAAACATTTTACCAGCTGTCAAGGCTGACGGACGGCTTGATCTGACCATCACCATGATTAAATTGCCAACGTTTTTCGTCGGCAATGTGTACCAGTCGATGAAATACGATGTTTCTCCGATTTTGATGCTCTTTTTTCGATCGCGTCAAAGTTCGAGTGTGTAATAGAAACAACAATTGTTATTGAAAAGTAAGATTTTCAAGATGTGATACCTACCTCTTCTTTGAGACGATCGCCGATAGACGATAACGTAAAAACATTCACCAGAATCGAAGTCACCAGGATGAAATATATAATTGTGCCTAATATCTGATTGTCTTCCCATTCCTGAAATAAATTTCTGTAGAAACAGAGTTTTACATTTTTTTTTCTTCATCTCTCGCGACGCGATACAACGAATGTTTCGAAATACCTTGAGAACTCCGTACTCCAGAAAACATATGATGATAGTACATCCGACCATTTCCGATAGAAAAACGAAGTTTAACGACTTCTCGATCATTTCAACGTATCTGTGCAATAATATTTTTATGAGAACTACGATAAAAAATAAAAAATATGCAATTCTTATATGAAAAACTACATTATTTAAAACCTCTGCACCGTGTCTGTTATGTTCCGCACAACAAAAATACTTGATGAGACATTTCAGATGTACAGTTCTTGCCTCTTCTCTTTATGTTAATTATAATTGAATCAAAAAGCTTTTCCGACCTGAGAGCTTGTATGTGCTCGACGATGACGTGGCCGAATCGCTCGTGGAGATCGCGAGTTCTATCCACCAGAAGTGTTTCCATGTGAGCGCGAGCAATCTCGAACAAGCAGCAGGCGTGCATCACGCAGGTGGCAATCAGGCTGTAAACGCCGCAGTTCGTCGACAGGATGATGGTGCTGAACAGAATCTGCATGACGAACAGGATTTCGTAGAACGGTGAGTTCTCCACCACGAAGAAGACGTAGTCGCTGAGATACGGCAGAGGTAAGTGCGTCGTGTTGTCCTCCTTCACGATCTTGTCCGCCACCAGCGGCATGATTATGTGATAGGGTAACGCGCCGCCGTAGAGCAGTCCCAGATACATTATCGTGAACTGCCTCCCGATCTTGGCGTTTCTCATCATCACCAAATAATCCTCCTCGCTTTTCACATCTCTGTACTGCATCTCTATCTGCTGCAGGCAGCACTTGATGTCGTCCCGATTGATGATCATCGTCCAGAACTTGACGATGCCCAGCAGACTGAACACCTGGGCTGCTATCACCTTCATGTACCTGGTGAGATCCTCCGCGTCGAAGAAGGTGTATATGATGTGGGGCACGAGCAGAAAGCACATCAGGCTGAACATGAAGCTCGTCTGGAGAACGTACTTGACCTTGTCGAGCACAGACTCATCTCGGTCGAGGGGCCAAATGCCAACGGGAGTCAACAGAATCTTAGCGACTTTCACCACGTATTCCGTGTCGGATCTGTAATTGAAGTTCCGGAACAGAGCGCGATCGTCGGCCGATGATGACATACCCGTGATTTTTTTGTTATGTATAATTGTTTGATTGCGCTTCGTGCGTTTGATTTCCGTTTACAAGGACGACGCGCTCACCCCTGGCGAGCTGAAACGTGAAACGCCTGCGTGCAAGAAGTTCGCGACAACTTTGTACACAGGGTGGACTACCTTCTCAGAATCGTCGCAACTTACAGTGGGAAGGAAAATGTGTATGATTTCGCGATGATTACGCAGGCGCTGTGAGAACATGAAGCGAAGAAGCAAAGAAGCGAAGGTTTATTGCGCTGTTGACTGTTGCACGACGTAAGATGTCGAAAACGAATGTATTTCCAATAAATCGAAGAAGAATCAACAAAGCGAAATCTATTTTAGAGATGTCCTTTGCGCGCGTGTTTAAACCAATTCCACAGATATTGCAATGACTGATACAATCAAGTATATTATTTAATTATAAATTGTTCGATCAGATTTCGAGTGCCGCGTCTTATGTATTAAAAAATCAAATCTTTATTTATATCTAATTACGTATACGTGATTGTAATAGTGAAGTATTTTAATCGCAAGTAAAGTGTTATTTTAATGCGCAACTATAAACTTGGTGACGAACAAATATTTTGTGCACACTTTGTTTTTACAATCAAACTGTCAGCGCCTGCCATTTGCATCGGTAAGTCTCGTTTTATTTTGTATAATATTTTCTTTCACGCAATCAAACTGTTCTTGACAATTTTATCGCAATCGCGATAATTGCAGAACAAAGATATATTATTTTTCTGATTACTACTTCGATGAAACTTTTCGATAAAAGTACAGAAGAGAAAAAAAAAGGGTTTTGAAAGGGGAATAATACCGCAAAAGTTTTAAACAAAGTATATATACACGTAATCCGCAAAATTAGATGCAATTCAGAACTACAATCTGAACAAATGTCTTGCACAAGAAAAAATAGAGATAAATAAAGTTATTACATGTAATGTTGTTTGAAGAGCTAGAAATAGATATTTGCCGTGCGTCGTAAGAATTTCCAAATGCGCATTTTCAAAAATTGTTACAAATACAGCAAACTGCTCTTGAATCCTGATAAAGTGAACTGAAATGTCTACGAAACGTCAATATGAAAATAATATTAATGCGATTTCCAATCCGAGAACCATATTTGGAAGTTCTTGAAAAACACGCGAAAGCATCAAATATACAATATAATGTTTGTTCGACAGAGGTAATGGTAATGACAATGGTAAACTACAATTATCGTGTTTCGTTGGCAAATAAAAAAACAAAATACATGAAATGCGTATACGTGTATGTATATATTTGACGGGTGACAGTAACAATCGAACATGTACGTAATAGATTTCCGATAATTGATACGCGAATATATCGGAATTCATGTGGTCATCGCTCGTATAAAATTGAAATATGCCGCTGACGTTTTGCAAACCTGTAAAAGCGCCACATGAACGATACAAGCTATGGCAAAAAAAAATATCACTTATTACTTTTTATATATAACAAAGAGAGTACGTACTTCACAGAATCCTCCCAGGGAGAGATCGAATATCTTCGCGGCAGTTAGAGTTGACGGCCGGCCTGATCTGATCATTATCAAAATTAAATCACCTACGATATTTGTCGGCAGATTGTACCACTCGATAAAATACGACGACTCTCCGACCTTTTCGCTCTTGGTAATTACATGAAAATAAATAGACTACGCAATGATTTTACAATAAAAAAAAAAAACTTTGACTTTGCAAATAAATATTTGCAATATTTAATTTTTAATTGCGCGATATGATATATGTTATATAAAATATTGTGTAGTATAACAATTGTTCTGTAACGTCTACCTCTTCCTTGAGACGATCACCAATAGCCGATATGATGTAAACATTTACAAATATCGACGTCATTAGGACAAAATACGTGCTCATGGGTAAGATCTCCCCGTCTTCCCATTCCTAAGATAAATTTTTTATAAACTGTAATGTAGCGGAATCTTTGACTTGCTTAATTTTAATGTCGCAAGTACCTTAACAACGCCGAATTCCAGAAAACATATGATAATGGTGCATCCGACCATCTCGCATAAGAAAACAATATTTAACGATTTTTCAATCATCTCTGCGAATCTGTAATGCATTTTTTGTCACATTCAGCGAGTAAAAATAAAACAACGTAATTAAAACGCGTGTGTGTGAAAGTATTTTTTCTCCTACGTCATAGTTGCTTGCGATTTGCGTGGCGTTGAGTTTCGAAAATTTGTTTTTTTGAGAAACGTCAAATGTGCGACCGACGATCATTTTCTCACCTGATCGCTTCCATGTGATTCTCGATTATTCGGCCGAATCGTTTATGGAGATTGTCAGTCCCGTTGCTGAGAGCCGTGTCCATTTGCCTGCGCACGACCTGGAACAAGCAGCAGCTGTGCATCACGCAGTTGGCGATCAGGCTGTAAACACCGCAGTTGGTCGAGAGAATGATGCTGCTGATCATGATCTGCGAGACAAACAGGATCTCGTACATCGGCGAGTCCTCGATCACGAAGAAGACGTAGTCGCTGAGATACGGCAGAGGTATCTGCGTCGTGTTGTCCGCCTTCACGATTCTCTCCTGGAGCAGCGGCATGATTATGTGGTAAGGCAGTGCGCCACCGTACGACAGTCCCAAATACGTAACCGTGAAAAGTCTGCCGATCCGGGCGTTCTTCGTCATCACCAGTCGATCCTCCTCGCACTCGACGTCCCGATACTGGATCTCTATCTGTTGCAGACAGTTCCGAATCCCTTCTCTGTTGATGATCATCGTCCAGAATTTGATGATGCCCAGCAGACTGAACACCTGCGCAGCTATTACTTTCATGTATCTGGTCAGATCTTCCGCGTCGAAGAAGGTGTATATGACGTGCGGAATCAGCAGAAAGCACATCAGACAGAATAATAGGCTTGTCTGAACGTAGGTCTTGATCTTGTCGGATGTGGAATTGCCTCGGTAGAGCGGCCAGATACCGACGGGCGTTAATAGAGTCTTGGCCACTTTTACGACGTACTCGGTGTCGGATTTATAATTGAGATTCCGAAACAGCGCGTGGTCGTTGTTCTCCGTCATCGTTCGGATCTTTTAGCTCGTAAATTTTTTTATTTCTCGTATGTCGACCGACGGAGGCCCGATCGTGTCTTGTGCGACAACCAATCGCGGAGATCCGCGTGCATGTGAAGTTTGCCTCCCTGCAACGATTTTCCGTAATCTGCTGAAATTGTTGCAACTTTGAGCAGCAAGAAAAATTGTTTGTAGAATTTCAGTGGCGACGCATGCGCTCTGTCGCAGTAGTCTTTGAACTTCGAGTCTTCTGGAGCTTCATTCTTCTGCGTTACGTTAATGCGTAGAGTTCTCTACAAAAGGCAATTCAACGTGAAGTATATTCGGAACGTGAGTAGACTCGTCGAGCAATAAAAATCGAAATGTGTTTGAAACGCTCGATTATTTCTTGGATCTGGAATATAATTTCTACGGCATTCGAAAAAATTTGAACAAATCGCAATCGTGAAAATACGCGCAATCGTGAAAATCGTCTTGTCTCTCGATATTAATCACCGGGAAATATTTCATTACCAAGTACAGTGCTCGTGAGCGATAATTCGAGTAAGCAAGTACTTGACGTATCTATCGATAAGACATTGCATTCTTTTTAACGTTCTTACGAAGAATAGCGAAGCGATGAGATTTGCGGTGATTAAGACAGAGATTGTTAAATCACTTCCAGTAGCGATCGTAGTAGAGCCGACTGCTATTCGCGCAATTCCGATCATGTCGTGCGATCGGGACAGTGAGTGTTCGTTGTAGAAATTTAGATAAAAATGTCAGAAATACGCGTTTTTGATTTTTTTTTCAGGCACAATATGGGAAATGCAAAAGAACACGTTGACGATGTTTGCGTCGGAGATCGTCGGCACGGGTATTCTCATATTTCTCGGTTGCATGGGATGTATCGGCGTCATGGGACCCACACCACCTCCGCCATTGCAAATGGCGCTAACTTTCGGCTTAACAGTGAATCTCATAATTATGGTACGCATAATTAATTTCGATGAATTTTCTGTAATATCAATTAATAATAATTCTATAATTAATATTTTATATTAACTAAAATTTTATAATGAGAAAATTTCAGAAGAAGAGATATTTTAAGTTAATTCGAGAAAAAACAAATTTTTTGAAGCAATTTGTTTTTGGAAATTAATTAATTTTTTTTGTGATGTATGTGTGTATACGAGAGTGATCTAATAAGTGTTTAATAGATTTTTTCTATATAAAAATTGATTTTGCGCCAACATTTCTCAGATGCTCGGTCATGTGAGCGGTGCGCATCTTAATCCGGCTGTTACTATCGGTTCCGTCATCGTGGGTCTGAAATCGATCCCGACGGGTGTAATTTACATTCTGGGCCAGTTTATCGGTGCTACTTTGGGATATTGGCTCTTAAAAGTGCTCTTATTTCTTTTGCTATTGCTAATATTCCGACTATTTTATTTATCTTGTTAAAATATCAAATAATAAACAATCGTTCTCATAATTTGATAGACGATAACGCCTGAGGAGTTGTTCAGTGATGGAAATTCGAATTCGACCGGTGTTTGTGTTACGGTTGTTCATCCGGGAATCAGCAGTGCTCAGGCCGTGCTGATCGAGGTGTTTTGCACGAGTTTCATACTTTGCGCGGCGTGCGCCACGTGGGATCCTCGATGCGCTCACACCACGGATTCGACCGCGCTCAGATTCGGCCTGTCAGTCGCCGCCATTTCCTTCGCTGCGGTAAAGAGTCTTATAAACAATATAACAGAGACATATTTCAATAGCGAGCACAGAAATGCAATAATATTTTTTAATGCACACTATTCTAAATCCAGATATGACAAGTTGTTTTTGACATGCAATCGATGTTGAAAGACAAAGAGATTGATACGTTAAATAATTATGTTGTAAATTCTATTATTTGACGTATCAATATCCGTACGTACGGTTCTATATAATAGATATTTTATATATGATATTCTTACATTTCGATAATTTATTTTGTTCTATCCCTTTAGAGCCCGTATACGGGTTGCAGTATGAATCCAGCTCGAACATTTGGTCCTGCGTTCTGGAATGATGCTTGGAAGGATCAATGGGTAGGTTATAAAATAAAACTTTACTTCAGATTAGATTGTATTATGCACATTACACAAGTGGATTACGTAAATCGCACTTGTGTAATCTGTTTCAAGAATTTATATAAAACTATTTTTTTAATATAATATATGTGCGATAGCAAAAACGCTGATTGCAGCACCGATAACAAAATTGTAGATAATAATATTATCAGCTTATTTAAACATAAATAATTTTTTAACACGGTGTTCACGAGACACATTCCAAGAGATACGCAATAATTATTGTATTTTTTTATTATAAAAATAATATTCTTTATTTTTCATCTCTTTGTTATTTATAAATTTTCTTTATTATTTATGACATTGTTTAATTGTTTTTTTTCTTCAGATTTATTGGATCGGACCTACGTTGGGAGCTTTACTCGGAACGTATACTTATCAGATACTATTTGCGGAAAATACTTTGAGAAAGAAATTTTTTATTTTAACCAAGGACGAGAAGTCAAGTTCCGTTTTGTCGCATTTGGATAACGCACATAACAACATTCAGCTTCAATAAGTTTTTACGATAAATTGTCATAGTCTGTGTAAATGTGAAGAAAAGACACTTCTTGTAAGTATTCTTAGAAAAAAAACACATCTGCATGACAAAAAAACCATACTTACGCTCATTATTTATTGAATCGATGGAGATAATTATTATCTTTTGTTTAAATTATCATTCATCGGTCATTCTATCTTTAAAGTAACTTGAAGTTTTAGTAGATGGCGGACGTGATGCGCGCGCCATTACGATGCTTGATACAATAGAATACAATTTTCTTGTTCTATTCAAAATTCTCTTCTTATTCTCAATATTGTGTAAAACTGCTTTTTTGTCAAGTGCAAAACAATTGTACATATAACATAAGTATAAAATTATTATACTATATCGCATTATAATTTACAAAAGACAAAACTTATAAAAGATAATCGATAAAAGCGCGTGAATCGATTGTAGACAATGTTGCGAGCAACATTATGCAATTGTGTGTACAAAGCGTATTATATATTTGTCTAAGTATAAATAAATAATTATATATACTTAAAATTTGTAAAACAATTTATTTGTTTGTACACGATAACAAAGATATATTTGCGAAATATAATATTTAAAATACGAATTTTTCTTTCTCTCTGGAAAGTAGACTATGTTTTATCACGGACGAGATCCATTATGATATAGACGATATATATATATATGTACATCTCTCTTGGAGACTTTTCTAGAATATCAAAGACCCTACGCTGCGTTCTGTATTATTATCTTTTTATTTTTAGACTCTTCTTTTTCTGTCTTCTCATCTGCACGACGATGTTCTCCCGCTGCGATTTTTTTTGTGACTCCTTTTGCAGTTTCTTGAGAAAAATAAGAACAGACGGGGTATTTTTATCGGAAATTTCCATACAGCTCGTACGCATCACATGATGTCACAAAGTGATTGAAAAATCTCGATTCTTTTTAAAGTTGTTTATTACGTTAACATCAAGATGAGCGCATTCAGAATAAAACGAAACAGTTCACGTAGCTTATACCGATCTCTCAGTGTCCAAACCAAGCTGTTTCTTTGTAAATTAAAATCTTCTGTCATTTTAAATACAGAAAAAAAACACAATCTTTGTTTAAGCAATATACTTTTTGACATGCATGTGAAGAAGTCGCGATAAACACGTGACAAAACTAATGCATAATTGTACGATTGCAGCTATACACGTGTAATTGCAACGCAATTTATTCTCTCAACGTGCACGAACACCGGTAACGGATAACGCGCATGCGCAACGTGGTTCATCAACCTTTACCCAGCGACACACTCTCGGGGCCGACTGGGACCTGGTCATAGAAACGATCGATACCTGCTGGGCGTTTCACGGACGTTTCGAGAACGCGCGGCCGGGGAACAGGCAGCGCGTTCGCACACACCTTGCGTGTGAGTGCCCAAACCGCCCAAAAACCGCTCTATTGTAGAATTAATGCGTACTTGAAGTATTGTCATGTTGCAAGTGTCACAGGCGGATCGTTGCGGACCGGCTTCGAGCAACAATCGCGAACCGGTTGGCTTCTTTGGTCGCGCAACCGGAATTCGAGATTCGCGAGAAAAGTTGCCGGGCGTACGTACGGTATGTGCGTACATACGCGCCGGTCGGATGTGCGCAACATCATCATCCCGGGCGTGACTGCGTTGAGTTCAAGGTCGCCAGCGAGGCGCAACTAAAATTAGTCCGACGGCTAAGCAGATTATCGTGTGCTCGGGCGAGCATGAAGCCGGCCGCGGCTGTGAGAGTACGTTATTTATGTAGCAACTTGGGACAAGGGTAGCCAAGGGGTGTCTCTCTGGTGACGAGAGGTAAACTTTGCTTGTCATTCAGGAGAGGGAGAATTGTTGCTGCGTACTTCATTCTCTTTCGCGGGGCGAAGTTCCGAATCCCGAGAATCGATTAGGATGAGGCAACCCATGTTTTCCGTTGCGTAATATATGTGTTTTCATCCCTCAACAACGCAGTTATTATCCCTGCCCCTGTGATAAAGTATAATAACTTTTTTCAGATTTAATATAGCGAGGGATGTTAGAAGGGTAATGTTGCGCAACTCTATGCGTAATTCGCTCTCTGACTGTCCATGCGACGTGTGTATTTTAAGAAAACAAACTTGTCCCCAGATCATTGTTCTAACACGAGTCTGTCATTTGCGTGGGAAGGTTTTTAATATTAGTCGCAACGTTGTTTTATACTTTACATGTATTATAAATATAAAAATTGTTGTGCATATAGATTTTATCACACGTAATTTGCAATATCACGTATTGCAAATTGCAAAACAATTACGAGAGAAATAACAGATAAAATGCAATAATAATGAATCGCGAGAGAAGAGCACGCATTTATTCCGTTGGTTGAGGCTGGCGCACACTTGCGCGCGCGTACACACACGTACAAACATACACACTTTCTACACGTTATATATATACAACTCGCTTCCTGCATCTATCGATTAGCTGCTGCTGCAGCCTCGACTGTTCTCGAACACGATGGAAACATCATAGAGTGCAATATCTGCGCTCACAATTAGCCAAATTCGGTCATTTATTTTTTATATAAAACGTATTTTCTAGAAAAATACTCGCAAAACTTGTACAAGACGTTGTGTATCGCGATTATCTCGCACTTAAACCGCAAACAATCCGCAGGAAAACCTCACAAAGATTATCACGTTCGTATCTAGCGTTAAAATGGACTTTTTAAACGTTATTTTCTATAAACTGCGAACTTAGAATATTTAAATGTTTGTCGCCCGCATGCCGCAAAACTCGCTAGTTGCGAGCGCGTTTCGTATCGCAAAGAGAGATTCTTCCTCGTGAGATCGGAAAAAGCGTGTTCTCGACTCGCTATAACAGTAAATTATTTTACTAACGATACGTTATTTGCTACTAACTGTTAACCATTTTCCGCGACGACCGGTCTCGAGCGCGCGTTGCATCGAGAAAGTTCCCACAGGCCGCTCCCGTTCAGAGCGCAACATTGTTAGCAACCGTCTATCTTCTTCGCATTTCATTACGTCGCTCTGAATGACACCTGAATGTAACGAAGTATCTGCGAGATCCCGTGCGTATATAAAGTAGTACGCAAGTATAAGTAGTAGTTTCGTTCACCCTTTCATCTACATAGTCTAATCCTTGGCCGTTGTTAGTCCACAAAAAACGATCTCTCTCACTCTTTTTCTTTGTCGCGAGAGAAGAGATAAGTATCAGCGAGACCCTCTCTTCGCGTATAAATACAGTTCTGAATAAAATTGCATTAATTGCGTATCTGCTTAAAGAGAAGTTCTTTTGTAGCTGAAAATACATTCGACCCGGGCGAACTAACGAACGATATGAAAGGGAAATCAATACAGCCCCCGTGGTACCGTGTAAATACACCCGAGAAGAGAGAGAGAAGCGAACGTAATATTATGCAATCTCGTTGTATCGCGGCTATTATGCGTTATAATAAAACCGTGTTAAAAAAAAAAAAAACGTACGCTACATTTTCGGTATTCTTCTGCGGTTTTTCTTGCTAGACCATTGCGAGAATTTGCTTTTCTAATGTAAAATGCAGATTTAACATTTTTTTTTTTCTATCTCGGTTGCATGTGTGCGATGCGCGAAGAAGTGTATTGTGCTACGATTCGCCGCATCTGCTGCTAAATGCGAAAAAAATGGGTTAGCGATGCTTGCGAAATGTTTGTGTGCCGGCTGATTCTCACGCTGTTATCGGCGCTTATATCGGCGCATATATGAGTTAAGCCGGCGTCCGTGATGTTTGCAAACACGTTGTTGCGTCGCGTGTCCGTTCGTCGGGCCGCACCTCAAAAAATTTCGTAAAAATAATCATCGGTCGTGTAGGGAGAACTCGATAAAAACACCGCACCGGCTAGAAGGTCATCCAGACTACTGCCTGCGTAGTAAAGGAAATCCCACCACGACGAACGGACGAATGGACGTTCTCTCCATCGAGCGTCGAAACTGCGTTTCAGCGTTTCAATGTGTGGCGCACGCCATGAATTTCTCAATGTTGTATCGCCAAACCGACGACGTTCTTCTCTCTCTCTCTCTTTTATTAGCATCATTCGCACAATGAAGTACAAACAAATATAAACTTCGTAATCTGTCTGTTAATTGCGATCTTATACGCGGCGATAACGGAACTCTCGTTATCGCGCACGTTTGCCTGAAGGCTGAATTTGCGTGTCGTCTTTACCAAGTCAATGTAAATTAGCCGTCGCGTATAATCAGCCGTGCAAAGAAAATAGGCGACCTCTTGAGAAATAAGTAATTACCAACAGAACAAACGGCGAAGACCAAGGTCGGAGAAAAGCATCTCTAACAAAAAAAAAGAAGAGGGGACCTCGCTGCGCAGTAACTTCATATTATGTAATATATTTATACATGTATAGACTCCGATAAGCGGTTCTCTTTTTATCTCGGGGTCCTCGCGATTTCTTCCATCAAAACAAATGGCGCAAAACAAGCCGATACGCACAGACCTGAATCGACCACAAAGTAGATTACAGCTGCGTTACACAGTCGTATTATATCATCACACACAGGCCGGTCGTGTGGGAAATGATGGAGGCGGCGGGAGAGAACGTTCTCGTTTGTGTAGGTTGGGCGGATGGTGGGGTTCCGGCCGGGAGAGCGAACGTGCCAGAAATCTCGTCGACCCGCTCTGCCTGGGCCGATCAATACTTTGACGATATTTGTTTCTCGTATTTAACGTGCAAAAAACTAATTAGCGAGCATACAGATCGACAGATATCGTCACGGCGAAGTCGATTATGGTCATTGCGACCGGATTCGGACACGATTTAAGCCCAAAAACATCAATTGCAACAATTGCGCATTACGTGCGCGCGGCGTCACTGAAGCTTCTCGAAGCTTCTCCGACGTTGCGACGCAGCGCCGCGCGACTATAAAAGGCGGCCGCTCGGCCGGCCTCGGCGCATTCGTAAACAAACCCTGGTTCAGTTCGGACGCAGCGAACACCCGAAGACCCTCTTCACCCCCACCATCAGTGTAACACACTTCGGCTTCTTACTTCGTCGAGACCGCCGGCACAGGAAAATGTAGGCGAGCGGGCACCAGGTGCGGAGCGCGACAGTTTACCGTAGGTATCCCTTTATTGGGTTTTTGCTTACTTTTCTCTTTTTTTTTTTTTTTTGTTTTTTTTTTTTTAGAAAGCGTGATTGGCAATTGAAAGTCTTGGTGTAATTCAGTAGTGAAGATAGTTGATGTCACAGCTGACTCGAGAGTCATTAGTTGATGAAGATTTATGGAATAATTGACAATGAGATGCAATTATTGAAGTAAAGCGTAATAATGTACTAAAGAAAAGATAAAGTTTCTTTAGTACGCGTCACGCGCTTTACTTCACTAGTTGCATCTAATGTCAACTATCTTCATCAACATATTGTTGACATTTGCGAACATTTTAATGGTTTTACTTCAGTGAACAATATTAAAATTTTATATTTTAACTTGAATTTAGTAATTTGAATTAATTAAGCTGTGATTTAACAATTTATTGATTGAAATAGAAGATAATGGAGATAAAGTTAATGTTTATTGATACACAAGTATATAATTAAGTTAGAAATTGCAATAACTTGTACAATATATTCTCTACATTTAAGTATGAGTGTGTATGTGTGAAAATATCGGATTATAATTTTATACAAATACGCTAGAAAGTAACATTTTGCGATATAATCATTTGAGAGAAATGAAAGCAGCACGATTACGTCATTTCACAAAGTTGCTCTCGCTATATCGATGATAAAAATCGAGAAAAACCGAGTGAACGAGTCGCGGAATGAGAGTTTCTTGTTAGTCGACGATGGTAGTAGTGGTGGTGGTTGTTTCGACGGGAACCGGCTTGGCAGCTGGCACTCCCGTTTGAACAACGCTGATGACTCTCTCCGTGCCAGTCGGCGTCACGTTCTGAAAAACGCGAACAATACTCGTATTAGAAATAATCTGATGAGCGTGTCACAAGAGATGTGTTTGTTTTTTTAGTGCACCCTACGGGGTCGGTGCTTGAACAATCCGTACGCGACGATAACACAGGCGTGATTAGAATTTGAAAAATTCCTTCACACTTTGAACAAATATGAGAAGAGATCCTCGAAATATAGGTAAGCGTACAAGTTAAGCTGTGGCTGTAGTCACGCTAGTATTTTATTCATTAAGTTAATGGAAGTAGCATCTCTAGAGGGACGATAAACCCGAAGAGTTGAAACTTTTACGATAAGACCGGTTTACGTAAGATCGGTACGGGACAAATACGAATGACAAATGTGTTCCTTGTATTTATGTTGATAATGAAAAGAAAAAGTTTTGTTCTAAATAATATTTAAAAAACTATACATATGTCATTTTGTTTCTGAAAGACAAAAATATTTTAATAATATATATATAAGTGACATAATAATATATACTGTTTATATAATATTATTATTCCTGATGAGGAACACTCGAGTAAGTGTCATCGATTTTAATAGAAACTCACAATGCAATCGCTTTTAAATCCAAAGGGGGGAGAGACTTAATTAACAAAAAAATACATACACGACGTTAAGTAAATACGTATATAAATTTTCTTCGCGATTGCTTGTCAGTCGCTGTAAATTGCGCGATACCGCGATTAACGCACAGAGAGTTTCAGGAATTTCCTTTAAAATCGACGCACACTGACTTAAATAAAAATTGCGAATGTTGCCTCGTCCCGACGCAGAACCAATAATAAACCAGCTGCGCGATTTTATTTCACGGTTAACGAGAGACATGTTCTGTTTTGTAGTTTAGAGCAGACTCGTAATTTGATCCAAAATCGCCCCGGCAACCACATCCGCCTCCTCTAGTGCTGCACACTGAGGCGCAATCATCGGGAACGTCCGGAATCGAAAAAAAAGCACAAAATCAAACATGTAACGTAAGCCGCAACTCAGCTATAACAAAAGACGAGAAAGAGGGCGAGAGAGAGAGCGAGAAAGAGAAGGGGAGAGAAAGCGGTCTCTCTTCGTTCGCGACTCGTGAACGAGTCCGCGAATGAGGGGACAGATCGGATGTTGAGCGCACAAGTCTCGGCTCGATAGGGAGAAGCGTACCTTTTTGGGCGCCGTGATAGTTAGCACACCATCCGAGGAGAGGGTTGAGGTGACGTTGTCGAGGTTGTGTGACGACGGCAGGACGTATCTGCGTACGAAGTGCCTGCTGATGTAGCCGTGCTCGTCTTGCCTCTCCTCGTGCTTGGCTTCGACAATAACGTGGTTGTCGACCGTCTTCACCGTGATCTCGTCCGGTGAGAATTGTTGCACGTCAAGTATCACCTGCGGATCAGAAAGAGAGAGAGCGTATAGCTTCTGTGAGGGTCACACACCCCGGCGATATCATTAGCCTTGTTCAGGATTCTTCTTCCCGGAGCGCCATCGACAACAGCAGAAATTTCGCAAATAGAAAAACCAAACAAAAATCAATACGAACCAAAGCGCAAGCTACATCATCGATTATGCGTCTATAGAGCGAAAGTTAAGTATCAATCACACGCTCCGAGCGAGGAGTTACTTCGACAAAAAAAAATTTAAATTAACGTTTCCGAGCAATGTTCTGAGCGGTATAAGATTTGTTGCTATTTCTTTCTTGCGAATATTAGCGTTTAGGTTTCTTTAAAATCCGATAATACAACGAGGCGCCGATAGGTGCCAAAGGTTTAGGTTTCTGTTTCTTTTGTCCCGGCTAATCGTGTATCATCCTCCGGAAGAGAGGATCTCTAACTCTCATACAACGCATACTCTATAAATAAGAAAAGCAAACGAAAGAAAAGAAGCAAGGCTATCTTACGCACAATTGTCCCGACTCATTATCTGGAGCCCTTCGTATATACGTTCATTCGTTCTTTCGCGTTTCCGCGTCGGGGCGTTGCCATCCGGGACCGGTTTCGCCGAAACCGGGCGCCGGCCCGGTTGTTGGAGTTTCCGCGACAAAAGGAAAATGTTAATTCGATCATCGTTCTAGAAACCTCCCTCCCTCTCCCAACGGTCAGATAAATACACACGTTGTAAAACGGCGTGCCCTCTCTTTCGTTTCTAGGCTACCGAATATCTCATATGTAATCCTCCACGTCTCTTATAGTTTATCACGCGTTACGGTATAAAACAAAGCCGGGAAGATGTAGTTGTCGGGTGCACCTACTTGTGTGAGATTGTTCTTTTTTTTTTTTTACCAACGAAAAGAAACGAGCACACATACAAGTAGGTGATTTTTGTTTGTTTGTGTGAGACTATTTCATTATATCTTTTTTCTCTTTTTTATTGACGAGCAAAAAAAAGCGAGCATGCATTATCCGAGTTAGGCGATCCTCTTTGCTTATCGCGAATTCGCACGGCGCCGGGAGCAAAACGGCTCGCCGTAGCGACCGATTTCTTCCGCGGGGATCGAGAGCACGGCGCCGGGAGCGACGCGGCTCGCCGTAGCGGCCGATTTCTTTCGCGAAATTGAGAGAATAGCTTCTCGCTCTGAATGAGCTTCTCGCTCTGAACGTCAGAAGCCGACACGCATAAAACATAACAAACGTAAAAAAATCATAAAAAAAAAAAAAAAAAAAGATAAAAGATTGTATTCTGATTTTTTTTTTGTCGTGTAAAGCAAAGAAGCTTCAACAACTGACGGTGGTAGGAACACGCAAACCGAGCCTCTCCGGGTGATCCCGGGGGCCGCTCGGTGAGCGCGCGAACGCGAAGACAAAACTGGCGAAAGATGAGATTGGCTGTGCACTTTTTTTTCGTTCGAAAATAAAATAATACCAAAAAAAAATAAAGAAGAGTAGGAGGAAGTCATATGAAGTATCAGTTCGCGAACGAGTCGACTCGAGTGCTGCGCGCAGAGCGACATATTTTGTACAAATAAGAAAAAAAACACCGAGCTTTCCTGCTGAGAGAAAGACAAAAAAAAGTCACATTTTATAGGATTCCTATTGTTGAAGGATATATTCAAAAAACATTTATTTTTGTACAGAGATTGTAGTCGGAAGAACCGGGAGGACTCGGTGTCATTGCGCGAGCGGTGCCCCCCCTCCTGATTCAAAGAGGAGGCGGGGGGGCCTCTCGGCTAAGCCGAGACGACTCCGCAAGTCTCGGTTCCTTCATCGAACAAGACTGATTATAAGCGCGACGCGATAAATATACAAGTACACATTCACTCTTTCGGTTTGCATTTGTTCCGTGTGGCTTCTGCGCGCGATTTCTCACGTGCGACTTTACTGAAAATCCGAAAATTGTAGTTTGAAGAACAAAACAAAAATAATAATAAGCGGGAGACGAGAAAGTCACGTATCTCCGTATTCCGCGGCGGATGATCAGTGCGCGCGACCGCGCAAGGAAATATCGCGGAAAAAGAGCAGAGGGAACAGAGGACAAAATAACAAAAAGAGAATATTAAACAAAAAAAAACGCAAAAAATTTTGAAGAGAAGGAGGGATTACAAAAAAAAACGATAACTGTGGTAAAACTGTGATTTTATAGAGATTCCGAAACAGTAGCGTGACCGATCGGAAGATCGTTCGAGCGCGATCGTCCGCTTTTGATACGCGCGTCTTTCGTAAAGCATTTCGGCGAACGAGAAAGCTATAACGGCGTGGATCGAAGATTAAAAAAAAAAAAATTAAGCTAAAACAAAAAGAAACAAATACCAAATAGCTCATTTAGAAAGAAAGAAAAGTCGTTTATCTCTAGTTTCACTCGCACGCCCTCCCTCGCCGTGAGGGAGGGGCGCGGAAAAACACTCAAAACCCACCTTCTCGAACGTAAAACAGCCCGAGATCCGAACACGCTCGTCGTATTCAAGTCATCCGTCGTGAAACCGAGTTGCCAGCCGATCTCACGCGTCGCGTATGTACGCGATCGCATGATTATGCGTCGTGTAATGTGTATGCACAGTGGCAGCTGCGACAGACCACGCATGCATCGGTTTTTCGGGCCTTCTGGTGTTCCGAATTTTTCATTCGTTTCCTTAGGCACCCCTAGCGAGCGTTGAGTTTCTCCCGTCCCTTACGTTGAGTTTCGAACTCTTCTCCCCTTCTCCCTCTCCCCCCCCGTACTTGCTTTTTTTTTCTTTCCTTTTCTGATGGCCGCACGGCTGATTCATCCCCTTCGAGATTAAGTTTGAGCCCGCGTTTGAGCCCACTGTAAATAGAAGTCTTTGTTCGCAACGTTTTGACCCTTTCCTTTAAGCCCCTTTTTGACCCCCTTCCTCATCTTTCCTTTCGACCCTCTTTTCTCTTTTGTTCTCCCTCTTACGAATGCGCCCCTCTGTCATTCCCGTTCATCTCCGGTTTTTCATATTTGTCGTTTTCCCCCCCTCCGCGACTTTTCTAGATTTCGAAATACAACTACGATTCGCCGCTACTCGTTTTTTCGATAGAGGATAATAAGAAAAATATCTATACTACGCCTATTATACATATATATATTCATACACATATATATATATATATATATCGGTAATTTTTTTTTCGTAGGATATCACTCGAGATTTCTTGTAACCGTCAGAAAGTAGCTTGTGTCAATGCAACGCGCAATGCATCGCACTTTCTCGAGCTGTTAAAAGAAAAAACAAAACAAGAGTAAACCTAATCTGATGATATTTGGAATAAGTTAATATATTGTTTAAGTATAATTGTCAGAGCTTACGTTGCACCACGCATAATCGATCGCATTCCTGTATTCGAAACTCTTTCTCGAGACGTAAAAAAGACGTGAAGAAACATACTGAAAAACACTTATTAATTTTCTATCCCCTGGTAATCAGTAAACGAGTAAAAAGAAAAAAAACGATAACACGCTTGAGCCGTGATTAAGTTATGTGTAACACGCAATAAATAGTCCATTCGTTGTTTGTGTATCGTTTGTGTATCGTAACTTTCATACTTTCGAGATAAACAAAAAAAAATTAAATGTAAGAAGACTAAAAACATTCAAAAAAAAATACAACAGGACCGAATACTTTTAGCAAATTTACGAATTTGATCGTGTGTCACGACACACACACACACACACTCTCACAGCAAATAATTCAAAAACACAAATAAATAAAAAAGAAAATTTACTTGCGTGCGTGCGCATTGATAAAGTGAAAATTGCGTTAGGCGAGTATAGTAGTATGGTCACGTATTTGATGTAAGTTAACGATCGATATTGCTGTCGAGTTACTAAGTTTACGGTAGGTGTCTGAGCGATCTCGAAGACAATTGAACCATCACTAGGGATCAATAAAAATAGATCTTACGGGCGTTTTATCCAGTTCGAACTCTATGCTAATACTAAACACGCATGTAATTGCCTGATATAGAGAAAGAGAGACCAGATATAGAGACGAGGCAACTTTTTCTTTTGTCCGCGCGACGGTCAGTTCGTGGAGGAAAGGCGTTGCTTCTGAACATACGATTCATCCGATTTCTACGTACGAATATCGAATTAAAGATAAGGAGGAGTGACCACTCAGTTAAAGAACGACGACGAAATTTAGTCTAGGAGAAAGGAGCTTCTCTGACGTGTCTGATTGTTCGGCTCCGAATAATTGTAATAGTCGTATACTGTGTTTTTTTTTTAGCGTAACTGCGGCGTAAGATAATTGGCATATAACAGCGCAGCGCGTGTTAATCGTGTATAGGTACACGCACACAATCGTGAATCGTGACTTCGTAAGTTAGGAACTTTCGAAACTTTCGGAGATCCGATCCATATACGTAAAAAGTCGCGTCTTGTAAAACCGCATCTTGTAAAACCCGCACCGAGATTCGCAACCGCTGTCGCGCAACTTTTTCCAAATTCGGAAAAAGTTGCGCGACAGCAGTCGCGAGCGGTTCCGCGAGATTACTCAAACCTCGAATAAAAATAATACCTCAGAAACGTATCTCCCTCTTTCCGAAAATATCGCGTTGAATCACTCGCGTTCAGAAAGCGTTTCGTTGTAATTTTAACGCGCGTTGCTTCTCGTTTGCGCTTTCTTGCCGAAATCAGATCGAACGAAACAAAATACGCACAAAACTCGGCAAGAAAATACTATGACATAAAGGTAGTTTTTTGTTTCTCGTTTGTCACTCGAGATATACGTAAGGGTTTTTTTTTCGGAACTTGAATAAAATCATCAAAAGAGCAACGAGGCGGTTTGCAGAGATAAATTACAAGCAATTTAGAGTAACAAAAAATTTTTGAAATAAAATTGGCGGTGAAATTCCAAGTGAAAAATTGAGGGCTGATTAGTTTTATCGTACATTATCGATTGTTGTTATTAAGTCGATTATATCCATATTACGTAGCGTGAAAACAGCAAAGTCTTGAATTTCTATTAGTTTTGTCATAATTTGCGGCCAATTGCTCTCTTTCGCAGAATCCCGCGGCATAGCTATGCCGCGGGATTCTGCGAAAGAGAGACAGAATTGGACCGTTTGCAGCATTACTTCCCGCTGTGGTAACATATAATATTTGTCACAAAATTTGAAGCATTTACAAACTAAACAAAAAAATAAAAACAGAACGCTAGTTAGTGGCTCCACAAAAAAAAGGGACAACTTGGAACATGTTATTAGCGTTATCTGATTAAACTCATTATATTGCAACTCTTGCATTGAATTTAGCTGTGAGTGAAAACGCCGTGTTATTACTACGAATGCGATAAGTTTATGACTGTACGTTTATTACTACGAATATAATAAGTCCGTCTCAAACAAAGAAACCTTGCACGTTAGTTAAATTAAGCGGTATACAAGTAACTGAGAGTGAAAGAAACTTGGGGAAAAAAAAACATACCGGACATCATAACGACAAACGATAACGGAGTTACGGTAGCAAAGAACAAAATCTTCCTTACGAACGCGAACTCTTTTATATAACTTGAGGCCATCTTTCGTGAAAACGAAGCACTGAATTGTTTGACAAAAGTATAACAAAACTCTACAAGTAACGTCACGTTATTTAGACGAGCATGATCGCGAAAAAGAATTACATTTTCTCTAGGTCATATCATCTAGTCTGATCTGAAAGTTCTCGCACTCTCACTCGATGCAACGAACCGGACAAAAATATTTGTAATAACAATCCAAACACGTAAATCGAGAAAAATTATCTCTCGAATCTAAAAAGAAAAGTGATTTGACAGCATTTTAGAAACGCGCATAAATTATGACATCAATAAAAATTTATAATATCCACTCGAATGCAAAAGGTAGCCAAGCCACAAAATATACCGAATAAAGATGTCCGCGAGACTAAACTGAGATTAGATACGTTTGTCTGAGATCCACGAAATCATTAAAAAAAAAGAGAGAGCTTTCACGATTGCGAAGATTCACATGGTAGTAATATTGCGAAATTGATTTTCGATCCGATCTTTGCACGACGTTCTCGTTTTGTTGTCTGTGCGCGAAATCGATTTCGAATGTGCGATTACCAACCTGGAAATTATCCTTGTCCAGCTGGATCGTGCTGGATCCACTTGAGTTTTGACGCGTCACGTTCCGCCACGGTCGGTAGTACGTGTTTCCGAAGACCGATCGTAGGGGTCGATTGAGGCCGAGTCCGGTAAGATTCGAGATCAGATCATCTCGGTGGAGACCGGTGCCGAAGTGCTGGTCCAAGAGCCGGGAGACCGGGCGTTCGATATCGTCCCACCAATCGCGGAAGACGAGCGGCACGACCGACATCTGCGATAAGAATCAACAACCGCTAGTAATGCAGGGCAATAATGATGGTCATTAAGTCGTAGAGTTTTTAAGGGTAGTTAAGTCCTTTAGTCATATAGAACGAGGAACATGATAATGATAACGTGAAAAGATAAAGTAAAGACGTCCCGGGCGTGATTCTCACGCGTGTGAATGATCGAGGCGGTAATTCCAAAAATCCTATAATTAGAATAACTCGGTAAATCTCGCTAAGTCTCCATTAATCATTAATATCTAACTTAATCGGATAGGGTTAAACAAAAAAAAAAAAAAAACCGGACATAGGTTGCTCCGATAGGAACTAAACACGGTTGATGTATAAATCAATGTATTCCAATTAACTTGATTGACAAAAAACTAGACGATCATTGCTCTCTTGATTTTTCTTAACACAAAAAATATTATAAAAGCAATTAAATAAATGAGCCCGAACCAGATTAACCGGCTGATTGATTGAAAAGTTATCGTTTGGGAAATCAACGATTTTAGTTGATGATCTGTCAAAATTCTAGCTTATGGCTTTCACAAACGTTTGCTTATCTCTATTGACAATTTGTGCTCTTTAAACTTTACCCCGCATTTGATTAAAATCACATTGGAACATTTTTATTAGAAAAAAAAAAATATTTCTGTGGATTATGTAGTAGAAGAAAATCACAATCGATCTCTCGACACAATCTTATTGCTGTCGAAGCGCATCTCGATTACAGAAAAGAAACTATTCAAATTCAAAATTGCATTCCAATAAGTAAATCTCACACATAAGTCGCATACAATGATAAGACGCGAGCTATTAGCTGCTAAGTCCCTTAAAATCATACGTGTAAGTCCCCTATACATACGTTTATTACTCAGGCCTAATTACGATAGGCTTACTCAGTTTGAAAAGCCGAATATAGTTAAGTAATTTTAGGCTAACAGTAAATTACCGTTAGTAATTAAAGTTAATAATTAATTACAGTTAACAGTAAATTACCGTTAGTAATTAAAGTTAATAATTACCACTAATTAACAGCCAGTAAGAAAGTAAACAATCACTTAACGCATAACAATCACTTGAACTGATACTCTATAAACTTGAGTGTTTACACGTGTGCTTTTCTTTCTTTGCTTAAATTTTTTCTTTTGAGCTACGTAAAAAAATTTATACGAATTCTAATGCGTTTTGCAATGTTTTAACACGCACATCGGTGTGTCAGTATAAAAATACACAGAAAATTCTCAACTTTGAGTACAGGATGTCACGGAAATATTATAAACAAAATTAAAACACACGTCTTCCCTCGCGATACGATTAATACATGCGTGCCAGAGAGATAATCCACACAATTTGCACTGTATAATAATTTAATATACGTATCAGCAAGACGAATAATGGACGTCAAAAGCAACAAATGCATAGATAGACTTGCGACTTTGAGTAAAAGTGACGCCCATTAGGCTAAATAACTAGTGATACTTTAGACTAAACTAGTTATATATTTCACGATTAAGCGTCGAACAATAATCCTAAAAAAAAAAAATTGTTGGAAGAATCGCGATGTTTTTTTGGTTTTGTTTTCGTGTAACGGATAATAATACAAAAAGGAGCAAACTAAAAATTAAGATCTAAAAAAAAAAAGTGCACTGACACTAGTCGTAAAACGCGTAAGATAGAGAGCGATCGTGAAGCTAGGATCCGTTCGCGTAGGAAACACGTTGAGAATTAAGCGAGGGTCCAATCTTAACACTTCATTGACGAGACCAATTACTTTCGGCGCTAGCGCCCGTTACGTTCCGCTTCGCGATGCACCGCAATGTACCGGAATCTTGACAACCAACCAAAATCGTTTGCATTTATCCGTCAATAACGTGTTAAGTTAACGGATTATACCAGGAAAATTTTAAAGTATCGACCAACCAAGTGGCGGAACAACGATGATTCAGCTAGATGTTCATCAGATAGGTGATACATTCAGATAGGCGACTTCGATATTACTAGGTTTAAGACTATTCGGTACTTCTACTACTACTACTATTACTACTACTAGGACGATTCACGACTATCAGACACCGATTACCGGGAAAGAAAAAGTACCATAATGAAAAAGATAAAAAAATCGCTCTTATTAGAATAACCGACACGTTAGGCGGAACGTCCGTGAACGAGACATCCGGATGGTGAAGGACGTACAAAAAGACGCAGATATATTTAGGCTAAGATTATCTCGCACAAACAATATTGGAGTAAGTAATGTGCTGCTAATTAGTAGTTAAGTTGACAAAGATATATATCTTCGCGACTTACTTAGGTGTTAATCCTTTAACATAATATCAGAAACGTAATATCACCGACTTGAATGAAATGAACTTAAATGATCGGATTATAAACGTATGAATACCACTTACTTACGTGTTAGTGTAAGTTTATAATATCGATAGATGTACGTTTTGATAATTAATGGGCTAGTGAGGACGCGGCGGGATAATGAAAGAATTCCAACAGTATGTACACATACACACTCTCTGAATCTCACAGAGAAGAGAATTGCACACATTGCATTCACACGAGAGAAACGCAAACTCAAAGAACACTGCTACCGTACCTTTCGTGGAACGTGAGAAAAAAGAGAGAAAAGATCTTGATCGATTATTTTCCGACGAAAAGCTTCAACCGGACGCGATTTCAGAGTCGTCGAGTCGACTTCTGAGGAGGCGCGAATCGCGGATCCATCCTAAATAGTCCGTCGGTCGACGTCGCGATGCGGAGGCGTGTTGCTTTCTCACAATGTCAAGTGACGTAGTTCGCTGAATGTTCTTGTCCAAGAATACACACCATCGAGTTTCCCGCGAGGCGGGATTTTGGCTATCGAAACCGACGCGCGTAGGTACCCGCGATACATGGCGAACATCAAGCTATAAGCCCCGCATTCTCGTTATATTCTCGCGAAGCTACTTAGATTTTCACCGCGCGACTTTTCTTGTCGACTCGGTTTTTTTTTTTCGGTCGAGCGAGATGATTCGACGATGAGTCAGTCGATGAGGGCGGGAAAGATGACGAAATTGTTTCTCTGCGACAGCAACACCGCCACGACTGTTCAAAGCCGACGTCGATTCGTTGCTGAACTTTCCTATTCGCGTGAAACGTTGAAGCGTTGAAGCAGATAGCGTTTCGCTCGTCGAACCGCTCGGATCGTACGCGATTCGAGAAGAGAAATCGAAAAACGGTGTTGTATTAAAGCCTCCAAATTAAGCTTAACACTTAAGTGTCACAGCGTTACACGTTGATATGTTAACCCTTAACTAACTCGTGAAAAATTCTTACACAATGATAATCACGGTCTGTTCCCATTGACGATGAAAAATGTCCCTGGTGCGAATATATGAAAGAGAATTTCTAACGGCTCGGTTATGTAGGACGCGACAGCGTCGTTACGCGTATTCAGCTTTATGCAGCGCGTAATCAAAGAGATCGTACCGATCGAAATATCAGCCGTTCTCCCGAAGCTTTGGTTCAACCTCGCTGAGCAAGAAACAGAAACTAACCGAAATAGAAAATAGCGCATTCTCGTCGTTATTCGTGACGATCAAGATCTCCCTTTGTAGCGAACCAAAAATTAATCTTTGATTGTTCGCAAGTAAAACGTCGATTTACGAAACGACGTCGAGTAAACGAAACTCGGATCTCACGAAGAAAAAACGCGTGAAATCGAAAAATCAATCGAGAAAAGAGAATTCAGAAAACAACGCGGAGAATGCTAAAAGAACTCTTTCTTTGGACATTGCCTGCGCGTCTTATTTTAGGATTACAGTGTTATTTTTCTTCTTCTTAGGATTACGTTTTATCTTCCTTCGATTTGCTTCTTTCTCGTTTATTAATATGCGTGTGTGAGAAAAAAAAGAGTTAACGCCGGTGTTAGCTTTGCACTAATACACTTAGTGAATAGACGCGAATCTCTCTCTCTCGTTTTTTTGAGTTCTACAGATTTAATCAAGTTTTACCCGACAGTATAGTGCACGCGAGAGATTAAGTTTGCGAGTTTCAGTTTTTCAGTGTGTGTGTTGCTTCGCGCGAGAGAGAGATAATATTCCGAAAATAAAGAAAGAACAAAAAAAAAAAAAAAAAATAAGAGAAGATGTACAATTGATGGAGACGGAGAGTTTTTCTTTATCGATGCGGATTGTCTCGCACAATATCATATCGTACGAAGTAATCTAAATGAAGTAATCTAATCAACGTAACTAAACGACATAAAAAAAAAAAAAACGTTCTTAAAAGAGTCGAAAAAAATACTTATAAGAAAACTACAAAAGAACTACTAAATAAGGAAGATCTTAAGTCTATGCGTACAAAATTATAATACTTAAGCGTTATATTAACATACTTATATATCTTGATTATAGACTGGCGCGACATTGCTGGCAACAAAAGTTGGAAACAATTTCGTTACAGTCGCTTGAACACGAAAAAGACAACGCGTTGTGCCAACACATTGTTATCGACAATATTGCGTCTGGTCCAAACGTGGCTTATTATATTGACTCTTTGCACTTGACTTGAGTCACACACGGGAAGTGACTGTGTGATCTTGTTTTGCAAATTAATTGTCGAAATTTAACAATCATCGGCACGTGCTACTGTGAACCTAATCGGGAACAAACAAAAAAAAAAAAAAATGCCAGCGTCAAAAAAAAAAAAAAAAAAAAAAAAAATGTATCACGCGTGAAACATTCTAAAGGAAATAACATTACGGTTAATAAGAGCCCAAGTGCTGGTATAGGTGCGCGAAATAATAAAATGTAAATTACACAAATTCTTTAATTAGAAAATAAACTCAATTCAAACGTGTTTATACTTCGCGATCTGAGAACACCTGTAAGTGTAAAGGGTTGATAAGTTAAAATTAAACTGATTAAATACGAGTCAAATGGTTTAATACCAATGAAAACTCTTCGATTTGTCACAGAAAAGATACACCGCATAGATACATATTTACATATATATACACATATATACATATATAATAATTGTATCTAATTATTACATATATATATAATTTATATATATTACATATGCATTATATTACATATACATATATATATTATTTATACATTTAGTCCAAAAAAAATCTTCGTACAATACACACTTTCAATATTTCAAATGATTTTAATTTCATCGAGAGAGGCACACGCGCGGAGAGTGCCTCACGCCAAAAGTTCACGCAAGAGTTAGGAAAAAAAACGTGAGATTTTCATATATTAGCAACAACCGAGTCAATCGACGTAGGTTGAAAAACAACAAACCGCTCTTTTGTTTTCTCTCTGCGTGCTCTTTGAAGAGAGATGTCAACGTCCGAATTAGAAAATATATTATTGAATATAATAGAATTATAATATGTACGGAGACAACTTCGAACTAATTGTATATTAATATATACATATATATATATATATAGCCTTAATAATATTAAGGGTGTGATGATCCTAAAATTAGCTACACTTGATATTCCTACGGGAATTTCGTATACAAGCGACAAATGCTGATAAAAAAACCCATGAGCCACAATAGCTTTTGATTCATGCTTCGTCTAAAAGTTACACTACTTATCATCAACGATAAACAACACACGCGCAACAATACGCGTATATCCTGTGAAAATGAAGTAAATTCACGTCACGCAATCCAAAATATCTCCGTGTTACGACCGTAGAATTATCGCGTTAGAATATATTGATAAAAAAAATTTTAAAAATGAAAAAAAAAAATTTACTAAGCTTTAGTCTCCCAAGGCAAGTGGTTAGCGATACAAATTACTAGTATTTAGATGAAAGAAAGCATTCACTTATTCGGCACGGATTCTAGTAGTTACCTAGAAGAAAAAATAAGTATCGATTTCTTGTTCGATTGAAAGGTATCTTGAAACCCGACTTCACACAATATACCAGCAAAATATCTTGTAGCAAGACGTAAACGGGAGAACGAAAATTAATTTCGATAATAATTTCGATGATAAGATCTAGATTTCCTCGAATTAGTGCTTGAAACATAATCATATATGCTTGAAAACAAAACTCACAAAATAAGTGGCATTATAGTAGTAAAGATAAGCTAAAGTATAATTAAGTTCTATCTCCTTGTCTGCCGCCCGGTGTTACTCTCTTTAACCGCGCGCGGTATTTCAGCGTCTACCTGGTTCCAAGCACGGACATTTATGTAAAAGAATCGCAATAAGAGAGAACCTTGTGAAGCGCTTCTTGTCTCTATATGCCCTTTACAACTTCTATTCCGACGTACTGTTGCTGTAAAATGTATGGTTCGTCTAGAATAAGATCTAAAAGAAATACTTAAAACAAAAACAAAAAAAACAAAAAAAAACGGATCTCCGATCCCCATGTTTAGGCATAAGAAATGCAATGACTCGACACTGGATAAAACGGCCATTGATTCAATCGCACGCGATTCTTCCCGCACGGGGAGTTCTGCGTTATATGGATGTAAAAGTGCATGTATGTATTGTATATCTCAGAGCATACGTAAAGAAAAAGAAAAAAACCAAAAAATAACTCACGATAAATGTGACTTAAATAACCACTCAAGTATAAAAAAAACAAAAAGGCGATACTTGTAACTCGATGGACTTATTGATGTTATATATTGATGTAAAAAAAAACGACTGTACCGATTCTCCTTTGGTTTTGTAATACGCAGCATATATTTCGCGCGTTGTATCGTTCTTACATAGATTATTATATACAACAAACGTACATGTTATGTCAGAGCAGAGATTTGAGCAGAGCGAATGCGTACTTTCTACACTTACGTGAAGAACAAAAAAAAAAAAAAATAAAAAATAAAAAAAAAAACGAAAAAGAAACAACACAGATTTGTAATTCGTAACAATCCGAAATTACATATTATACACGTTTTCTTAGTTGTCAGAATTTTAGATATTCGAACTTTTAACGCGGAATTCCATCTCGATATATATATATATATATAAACAGCTTATAAACTTATTTATGTATATATACACATATATATCTGGTTTTTTAATTTTTTAATTCTATATACTCATGCGCATAGAAATAGGCCCGGCGCCATTTCTTGGCAAAAAGTAAGAGGAGAAGAAAAAATACAATAAAGTGGTATCCGGATCCATAATTATTTGAGTCTCTGTTTTTCTTTCAAATGTTTAAATTTACACCAAGTCCTCCCTTCCAAGTAGCACAACTGCGCATCGTCGAAGTTTCACAGTAAGAAATTAAATTTACGAAGTGGCGATTTTTAAGGGATTCTGGAGGCTTGACAAAAAATGATTTCAACGTATATTTCTTTCTCTTGAGTCTTTTTTTTTTTAGTTTTTATTAGAGCCGCTTTCATGTACAATATTTGTTTTTAATGATCACGTACGCGCGCCAAAATTCGCAGCCAATGATCTCGAAGTAAACACACACATACACACACACACAGAGAATTACGGAAGCTACGCGCAAAGGTATTTCCTTACTTTATACTATATGCATCTTGCTGATGTGCGTCACGTGTTTTAAAATAGCTAGATAAAACCGAGAGAGGAAAACGGAGCTATACATAAAATACAAATATACGGCGCGCGCGCGCGCGGAAACAAGCAAATTGCATATATTTTCCTGGAACTGATTTGCATCTTATCATATATATATATATGTGTGTGTCCGCTTATTCTTAAATATATATAAATATTATACACACGTCTTTGCGCGCAGATAGTCGCAGCATAAATGTAACAACAACAAAAAATGAGAAAAACAACACGCTGTCTTCACGAAGGTAATCGCGGTATCTGCAAATCGGGATGTTGCTGTAGCTTCTCGAGGTCCTGCAGAGTCGAGATACCTTGCTCCTGTAACACACAACATATATACACGCAATTTGGCAAAACGAAATATACAAATCAATAATTTAACAAAATCGTAATATATTATATGGGCGCAGAACGTAGAACTTATGTCGAGAATTTTGAAGAACATGTCAAATATGTGTTAAGTGTGATATATATATTTGAATGTCCGATATATCTCTCTCTTCCTTTCAAACTTTCAAAAAAAAAAAATAAGTAGAATAACATTGCTACGCAACAACACACAAAAATCAACTAAGAATATTCTATTATTATGGAATTTGAAAAGATATATTGCATTAAAATTATATGTATCTCTCAAAGTATTCACAGCTACAGATTTAAATTAAATTGAAACTGATGATGATGTTCTTACATTATACTCTTTCCATTTAACGTAATTCTGCCGCATGTAGCCCACCATTTCCGGCATGTCGATGAACACTGTGAAGCAAAAATGAAGGAAAATAAAAAATCATGTGAAATCTCTTTGCGAACGAAAATTTCTTTTGCGAAAATTCATCATCTCAAGAAAAAAAACGAACCATCCCAAGCCTCGATCATGTCGTTGATGATGTAATCGACGAAACCGATTTGCGATTTCGGTATCGAACACGTTAATCGGTCGAACATCGGCATCACTACCGGCATCTTGAGCCTCTTTTCCTCGTCGGTCTGTAAAACGGTCGACAGATTCGTTAAAAATTACGCGATGAATTACACACGCCTCGGAATAAACCAGTGAGTTGGCGATCGAAATTGTGTTCTGTTTCACCTGACTAAAATACTCCTGAGCGATACGTCGCGCCCATTCGATGCAACACTTGAGCGGCCGCGTCGGATTGGACACATCCGCGCATTTGATCATCATTCGTTTGACGAGTATCACGTTATCCGGCTGCAGTATCACGGACATGTCCAGAGAATCGGAATATGACTGCAAAAGATTTTCGATTTCATTAGCAAATTCGCGCGCGAATTTTGTTTCTCTCGCGAGAAAATACGTGTCGTAGTTTTTTATGCGTGAACGTTATCATTCAAGTTTTTTAATGTGTACACATATATGTGACGTGGAGAAGTATATTAGACGTAATAAACTATACGTATATATCTTACATCTTGACAGTCGCCGATTCTCGCGCTACAGACGTTCATGAACCTCGCCAGGTGTTCGAAGTGCTTCGTCATTTCAGTCGCCAGAATCATGTCAATGACATTTTGCCGCAGCAATTTGTACGTATCTCGTTCTAGATTCTAAGACAGATATTTATTACAATCCAAGTGCTACGTAATTTCGAAGTCTATCTTGTATCGTCGAATTAGCGATAGCGGAAGAGAAACTTACCTTAAAAATATTTACACTGTCATCGGATAAAGTTAATTTGAACGTCAAGGCTGCGTGATGCGACTCGAGAACCGACAGATCATTGTAGAGTATCGCCAAACGATTGTTGGCGTTGCAAAGAAATTGACTGAAACGCAGTTTAAAATCCAATCATACATTCACTCGAACACGAGATCAAAGTTTACTACAAATACAGAAGTCGTTATCTTTTTTTTTTTTTTTATTACGCTAAGAAAACGCGTCGATTTCGCAAACCCTGATAAAAACTCGACAACAGAACGTGATAAAAAAACATTTCACACATGTTACGCTGCAAAATTACGTTTTCTACAACAAAACAAGTACGTCACGTTATCTGATCGATAACAGAAGCGGGCTATCTCACCTGGACCGTCCAGGATGATCGATATCGTGCGCAACGGCGGCGATTAACGCGGCGACCTCGTCCAGCGGGTCTAAGATTTGTTTCATTCTCTTTGACTGCATAAATCTCGCGGTCGCTTGCAAGACGTCGGCGGCATGCGTCGAATTGTGATAGCTGTTCTCCGCGATGTAATTGTGCTCGATAATCGCCAGCCAGTTACGCATAACTCTTTCGTCGCAATTCAACTTAGCCGACACTTGAAACATATTCATGATCGCCGAGCCCAGAAAAACAAGTGGCCTGTGTGATGACGTTCATAATAAATCAAGACACGATTATTTAGATACGAATCATGCGCATAAAGAGTTACAAAAAAAAATTTTTTTAAAGTAATCGTTCAAATATATCAAAACATTATGACGTTAAATTTGATAAGGTGATTAAAGTTACGTGTGTTAAAGTTAATTATTACGAAATTATTGAAATTTTTGAGATCTTTACCTTCTCTCAGTCAACACTTCAAGCTTAAATATATCAAATTCCCACTCTAAACACTTGTCCAGCAATTCCATGATTTGCTGCGATCCGTGAGCAGTTTTTATCAGCATGTTGGCCGGACTTGTGACGGCTCTGATAGTAGACATTCTTGCCGAATCTGACGACGATCTTCTCGATTCCCACGCATTTCGCGGAGACTGTTGACCGAATAATAATTTAAAGCGTAAAGAGAGAGAGAAACACTTGCTCGCACATTTTTCGCCGAACGAGGAGAGAAAAAAATATTAAATAAAAATATTCAAAAATTCTTACAGCAATTAACGCGCCAACGAGATCAGCCGTAACCGGATCGCTGTACATCGCTCTGTCTTCCTTAACATGTGGCACGTAAAGTTCCGTCGTCTTTAGGATATCGATCGCCTGTTAAAAAAAAAACGCGGAGATTAGTGCGCAATAGATGCTCGAAAATACACGCGCGTTTATTTATTACTCATTGAGATGAGACTATATACGAGGCTAATATAATGAAAAAAAAAAAAAAAATGATTCTGCTTAATCGGACGTACCTTGTCGATCTGCGCCGCTGTTTCCGGATTAGTTGACTCGGTAATCGCGCTTGTGAGAAGCGTAATGACTTTCGTAATAGGAGCTTCTAAGTGCAAGCAATTTAATTTCTGTAAGCTGGATCGTCTGCGGCCTGCGAAACAAAAAGGTCGATCGTTTTTCTTGAAACATCAATTATTTTTGTATTAGAAGAAACTTGTGCAACACACGAAATTTTGAAACCTTCGATACGCTTGAAAGTATGACACGGTGCGTGTGCGCGCGCGCGCGCGCGTTAAAACTTAATATTACAGAAAAGTATATTATAAACTGATTTTTCAAATCAAACGTTAAACGCAATGCACAAATAATGTATTATTTTTCCTCGTATTTTTTAAATACATTTTGATTGTGGAAATGGATCGTTAAGATGTGCGGATTAATATTAGAAACAATAATAGAAGAGCGTGAACTTTCCGATAAAGAAAACGCTCTCTCATTATCCGATATCTAACAACAGGTGTTTCGGTCGCGCGCTATTAAATTTCCCGACATGTTTACGACCGTCGATACGTACTATCGAGCGCATGTGATAACTTTTTAACGCAAAAATATATGCGTCGCAAAAATTGCCGGTGACCTAATTCGCGTCTTTAAAAATATATATATACGTTTTATCCTTTATAAAACACAAGGGTATATTGATAAATCGAGAACGCTATCTGTGTATCAGTTTGTGATGATTTGGTTCTTACTCTGCTGATATAGATTGATCGATATATTTGTTTAGAGTAGTCATTTTTAATTAATTACGAGAGAGAAGCATCTTTTCTCACCTTCGGATCCAGAAGTTCTCCTTGCGTTCAACACACTTGACCTGTACGAAAGGTGCAGTGGGCTGCCGATCGGACTGCCAACTAAATTTTCCGACAGATAGATCGTGTCGTAGACGTATATGTAATGAGTTGGCTTTCTGCAATAGAATTGATGACATAATTTAATCGTAGTTTTTGGGATAAGAAATGAAGCACTTTTATAATAACGATAATCTGTATTAAAAAAGTATGGACAAGTTTTTGATTGACGCTAAAAATATTTGAAAATAAAGAGAGATATTTATATTAAAGTGTGTGTTGAAAGTAGTACATGTAAAGAATAAAACATCTTAAAAAAATAAAATAATAATAATAAAATAAACAATCTTAAAAGCTACTGTAAAAAAATATAGATTAATGTGAATAATGTGTCTCTCGATAGAGGATTGAAAAAACAAAAAGCGTACTTTAACGTCGTGCAGAACGGAATTATCCTGCAATTGATCGTGACCGTTTGATTGTTTTTCCTCTTGCAATTCATATTTCCTTCGAATTCGTGACCCTTACTCAATTGTTGCTCCATGAGAGCGAAATTTTCGTAGTAGACTATGTCCGAGAGATTTCTCCCCAATACTTCCTCCTTCTTATACCCTAACAATTTTTCGCTGACTTTGTTTAGAAACTGTAATAAAAAAAAAAAAAATAACGTGAAATTACCAATTCTAAATAATAATAATAATAATAATAATCTCAAATTAAAAAGAGACAAACAACAAACGCAATGAGCCGTGTGTGATTTTTTTTTTTAGAACTTAATTAAAATTTCAAGACATACATTGTGCACGCTGTGTAATATAACAAATGCATTGTGTTGCTCTTTGCCTGCATCTTTACCTGCACAACGTTTTTATCGTCAGTCACGTGCACCATATCGTGACACCTGTCAAGTGCCAAATATAATGCATGCGCAGCTGCGAGTTGCGTTCTAGGCAATAACGAGCTAGCATAGATTCCTATTAATTCGTTTATTAATATACCTTCGTGAGAACACTCCAACAACGCCTGGAAATGAAAAATTAAACGTGAAGAAAAAGCTTTTGTAAAAATATCTGTTTAAAATTCAATAGTCTTTATATAATTACTCACTCTGGTAAAACCTGTTTCCAACAAGTTCACCGATGTAATATGATCCTTCTCTTCGAGCATGAAATATCTAAAACACAAAGATGCAAAATCCAGATTTTTCAATATAAGACGAAAAAAAAAAAAAAAAAACAAAATCGAGACACTTACGATTTCTTGACGAGTGCTATGATAACGGAATTGTGATAAACCGGAGTTAACCTGATCGCTCTGAAATTAAATGGTCTTAGAAGTGAGAAAAACATTGTCTCTCGTTATACGAGGAATACGTGTAAATAGATTTGTTAGACACATTGCGAGAGAAGAATATCAAAATAACACAACACAATTGACGTTAACCGACTAATTAAATCGCTGTGCCTTTTCTGCGCATTTGTAACTTTGTTCAAATTTGTCTCATTGGATATCGTACCTACAAATAGCGTCGCCCTCGGTCGCGCGATGTCCCCTATGATCGATTATAACTATCTCGTGGGCCCGATTTTGATAGAGTTCTATTGCTTTTTCCGCGTTGTGCGCCACCGACACGCTCCAGTTCAGTCTTCCCGCCGTAGAAGCGAGTATGTTCATCTGCTGGTCATCTTTTCTAAAGACTAACAATATCTGCACGATGAATTAATTACAAAGTATGTAAACAAAAAAGCACACAGAGAAGATGTGTATTTTTTTTTTTTGTTATTACATAAAGAGACGTCGCGATACTTACTTTCACGATACTGGGCGCGGTAGCTGTCAATAAATACCTATCGAGATCCTGCGGCCCCTTCTGTAAACAAACAATGCAAACGTGAACAACGAACGTTTATACGCGATGCGACGCGACATTTTTGTGCACAACTTGTACGCTGATTGTTATGAGTAGAGATCTGTAATCGAGCTTCGAATCTAATCAGAGACTTAACGCGTCAAATGCATCAATATCCGTGTCGAATACGTACTAATGATTCCGCTCTATCTAAATGTATTGATTCGAGTAGCTTGTAGATTTTCTTCCGACGACGCGCGCGCGGACTAATATTTTCTACGCTCGTGGCGATCTCGTGGTGATACGCAATTTGGTCTTTCATTTTTGCGACAGATCGAACGGGTACGGATTGTATTATTCTAACCTGGCGTTACAAACGTCAAACACGTTTGAAAAACGAATCACAATGAAGTTTGAAGCAATCCAAGATCGTTTTGCCGCAGAATGTTTTGCGAAACTTATAAAAGGGAGGAGAGAGATCAATTTGCTGTGTGTGTATACAAATAATAACAATAATAATTTCAATTGTGTTAACATACAGCGAGTTCCTAAATGGTATTTAAAAAAAATACATAGTTAACGCAACACTACTTTTTCGACAGATCGGTATAATAAATTCATACCCTAATGCGCGTCGCTATTTCCAGAGTCGATTCGGCTACTTGCATTTTATCGCTGGCGCACCATTTCTTTACCCTGCGCCCGCACATGGCATTGAACATGCTGCTGTACCATGTTTGCGATTCCTCTTTGTTGCCGTGATCGGTCTCACCGCAGATGTAGAGCACCGGTAGTGTCGGTTGTCTGTTCATTGCTCGACTTGTTTTAGTTCGCGCAGCAGCGATAAAACCGGCATAGAAGATATATAACGCACCAACGCCGCATGTAGGCAGCTTCGAGTTCACATTCAATTGTTTCTCACTTAATTTATTTATTTCCGACACAACGCACGCAAATCACAAACAGAAAATATCACATATTCGACTTTTGTGCGCGAACTTTTTCGCTGCTCGAATTTGCGCGATACTCGTGTCGACAGAGCGAACGTGTAACGTCGGAAACAGTGATCGGAACACTGACCAATCGTTTCCAGAGAAATGATGATGACTATCTATCAGAGAGTCTATAATTCTATCAATAAGAAGGTCAATTTGCTCGATATATTGCAGAATTTCTACTTGCCGATAAGACGATCGTCAGTGTGTAGTAGAGTTCTTACGTGTAATATGATAGTGTGTCATTTTGCGACGAGGCAAAGATAAAACTATGTAAAAATAGTTATTCTACAATTAAAAAAAAAAAAAAGCGTTTATAAATAAGCGATATCGCATAATTTTTCTCAATACAATAAAACGCTGCAAAAACAACACACGTGTACATTTGTAACAAACAACAAGAGTTTTCCGTCTCGGCATTAAATTACGTAGCTCTCCCGGCTGATTCTCTTCTGAAAAAAAAAACACAGTACAGTAATAAAAAAAAAACAGGTCTCGCTATTATCTAGTTTAAAAAATTTGTATATAAAACTTATAATGTTCTTTTTGTGTTGCAAATTTATCACGTGCTTTTTTCTGTAACTAGTTTCATTACGACGATCTTCTCTTCAGAAAAGGTCGTTTCGAAAGAAGAAAATTTTACCTCGCGTTTGATCAAACATTTTTTCATGTCGTGAACGAGCGTTCCTTAATTTTTTAATCTGTCCTGAGAAAGAAAGACACGAGAAACTCGGTTTTTTTTTTTTTTTTTTTTTAAGTGTCGAGCACCGAGCAAAACTCGCGAGAAGAGTGAAAAAGTTGGTTCAGATGGAGAAAGTTTTGCGAGTGAGAAAAAGAGAGACCGAAAAAAAAATGCGGTTGTTGCTTTATCGATTCGTCACACAAGTAGAGACACTAATCACCGCCTTCTGCAGAAGTGAATATGAACAAGTGGATAACGTGAGCAACAAGTGTAATATCTTTAGCGAAGCACACACTTGTATTCTAATCTCTAGCTGCGGAGTAGGAACAAAAATACACGTAAAAATTTTGATTGCTTCTTTGAAGACGTGCGATAAATGAACAAAAACAATTTGCGGAAAACGCGGTGCGAAAAACAATTCGAAACTTGCCATTCAACAGGTTGCCTCGCCAAACAGTTTAACTCGGCGAAATCTGCACTCGCTTTTTGCACTCTTATAGCATCAAACTCTATCCTCACTGAATTTCGCTTCTCCGACAATTGTAATAATTGCCTTGCGTGACCGGTTGCAGAGAAAGAGAGAAAAACAGAGTAGGTACATAAGCAAGCGTGTTTGTTCGCAAAACGCGAACGATTAATAAAGAAGAACGGAGTGAAGAAAATAAAAGAGAGCAACACATTATCACATCAAAACGTGTTCCAAAAAACTTCTTGCGATCTTTGTCTGAGCGGTTCTTTCGGATGAAAAAAAAAAAACTATAGCACATGCTCGTGTTCAACGCAAAGTAGACAAAAGCTATTATTGCTCGTGAGAAATAACGGAAAAGTCTGTCTCGCGAGGTAGCTTTACACTCACAGAGGTAAAAAGCTGAGAGCACGTCGCGCAATCGATTTTGTTACGTTTCCGTAAGCGTGAATTCTTTTTTTTTTTTTTTTCTACGCGCGACACCTGTTCTTACCTGACCAAAAACCCCAAAACGTTCGCGTATTCGCATACTTGGTCCGCGAACAGTTTGACATTTCCTACTGTCGGTTCTTCATCCGTGCGCCAGAGAGACCTCGTCTATAGACACTGTCTATAGACTTCGTTTATAAAATCCTTCGGCCGGGAGAGAGATCTGAACTCGTCGAGGAAAAGCAAGCGAATGAGGGAAATCGCGCTCACTGCGATTGCGCCCGGCGAATCAATTATTCAGACCGAACGTTTATGCCCCGCTGTCGTTGAAGCGCGCTCGATGATTTTCATATTTAATCCTCGGCAAATGGAGAGAAATGACTATCGCGAGTCGATCGCGAGCATTACCCTTTTGTCATTACCCCCGCGCAACAAACTTTGTTACAAAACGGCACGCGAATTATTGAGGGAAACCGCGGCTGCAAGGCCGCGTCAGCGATACGCAGAAAAAAAATATATATATGTGCGGTATATTTAGAATCGCAACTCCGCGCGTCTTTTATCGTGTAACTTTGTAAAAAGGAGGGGCGAGTTGCACAATGAAAAGTCCCCGTGAGAACGTAAAGGGCTGACAGCGCAAGGGACATCCTTCGCTCTCGGTTGTTTTTTTTTCTTTTTTTTTGTTAGGTTCTCTCTTCCATGATCAAATATTCTTTGCGAATGGGATTACGTGGCTTCTTTTTTCGAGCTATTTACGCGCACAATTTCGCTTGACTTTCAAAGAAATTCTCTTTGTTAGAATGTGATTTAATACGATTCTTTCTTGTATTTTCTATTTATATTAAACATTATTATATTAAACATTTTAAAAATTGTTTGATAATTTACGAACGCAATATAAGTTTGCAATAGTAGACAAAAAGAATTACTATCTTGTAACATTAGATTAACATTTTTGTTATTTTCACATGTGATTTGAAATTTTTTTAGACTTTGGATAGACGATATCAGATATGATTATATTGTCGATTTTGAACAAGTACGCACAAAATCTGTTGCATAAAACAGAAATAATTATGTAACAGAATTAATTAAACAACAGAAATATTAAAATAACAGAATGAGAGAATTAATTAAATAACAAAAATAATTATAAAACACATTAATTATTGACGCGTTATCGAACAACAAAATAAAGTAATAGAATAAAATTAAATATAAAATTAAACAGAAAATTGAAAATAGAGATTAAATAGATTTAATTAAGTAGAAAATAATTTAATTAAATAGAATTATTTAATTAAATAGAAAATTTAAATAGAAAATAATTTAATTAAATAGAAAATTAAAAATATATTCAAATGCACATAACGCTGTTATCAATTTTTATTAGTTTTTCAATTTTAATGCGGTTACGCAAAACTTTTCGCGATGTCACCTAAAATTAAGAAAAAGAAATAGCTGCGAGCGCGATACGATACGACGAAAACCAACTACCCGCCTCTTATCCGTATTCGAAAATCTGAAGTAGAACAATACCTGTGCGATTCTTATCTTTGATTACGAATGTGAAAGAGTGCAGATAACATGCTCGATTAATAGAAAATACGATAACACATGCCTACGTCACGCGCTACGTCACTTATCGTCAAGTGCATCGTCTTTAATCACTTTGCGTTGCTTACAAGTTTCACTCAGTATTTTTGCGAAATGCTTAACAAAATAATATATTGATTCTATTTAAGCGCTTACATACGAAATTCGACAGTTAATTTTAGTAAAATATAATACAATTTAAGATTAAAATATATCAAATTAAAAATAAAGTTTTACATTAAGAATTTATTTCTCAATTAAAACTGAATATACTTTTGCCAACTAGTCAATTGCGAAATATAAAAAATTAATGATTAATTTTTTGATTATTTTTTGCTTTAAACAGTTTTTAAATAATCATTTGAAATAAATATACAAAAAACTAAATATACAAAAGACGCGTTTAAAATCCTTGAAAAAAATTTATCAAATATTAATAATATTAATAAATTATATATATATAACTTACGATAGTTAAGTAATCGCCATTGTCAAGTGTGGTGGTCTCGAAAGTGTGTGTTTTTTCATCCTCGATGTCACGCACATCCGTTTTGCCTAAAACAATTCACAAAGTACAAAGAATAAATAAGATCACTAGAAAAAATACAAAACGTAGGCTGAGTCAAAGTGCCATGTAAATAAATTAAATACCATATCAATTAATTCATTAAATACTATTTCGTTTCGATTATATTTTTAGTCATCATCATCCGATATGCCGATGACAAAAAAAATTCATATTTACGAATACGCTTTGCAATCATGCTCCGAGTTTTAAAGCGGATGTTTTCCGCGAATAATCGAAAATTCCTGGCAACAGGTAGTTGTCGTACGTGACCATAGCTTCATAATTGAACGTTTTGTTGACTCTAGAGTCGCACGCTTGATACCGTGGAATAGAGCGACGTTATATTTAGACTCATCGTTAGTCTTTTCCTATTCGAACATTTTCCGATTTATCAATTAACTCACATTAATCGCCAATGCGTCAATAATTGTAGCGACAAAGTCTCTCGTTAGAAAGATGTGTTTTGTCCGTTTAATGTTTTGTGGGGTTTGTGGGTCACAGTAACATTAATTGCAATTAGAAGTCAATTGGATATAATTGGCAAAGTAGATTGATCGCTGCTCCAATTTTTTGAAAGGCTGTTTCACTTACGCAGGATGACGTATGTTGTTGAGAAAAATTTTTATAACACACACGTTATTTAAAATCAAAAAGTTGCAAATAAATTTAATATACGTAATACGACTGAAAGTACGCACCAGAGAAATGATTTGGAAACAGTTTGTCTTCCCAGATGTCTTCCTCCTCGCTTGGGAAGAAATATTTACTCGGTGGCGATGCCATAAATATATAATATATTTATACGTATGTATGTATAAATTACGTTTTCCCGATCTCGCAATCACATTGAATTACGCGGAATTACGTAATTTCGCACTGTTGAAAATCGCGATTTCTCGTGTCCGTTCTCATTACACGTAAATGCATATATGTTATCACGCGCCTGTGAGTTACACGCGCGAAAGACTCCGTGAAAGAGACACAGTTTGCCGAAGAAATGTTTAGAAACAATTGTTGCACACAACCCGACCTGTTGCAAATTGAGATTATTTCAATTGACGACCACAATCGCAAAGTCTTATCGAGATTATTCTGTTTCGTAGACGATTGGAGTCAATTGCTTGGATTTAAACAAAAGTCGCGATTGATCGATTATTTTTGTTGCGAAGATCAAAGATTGTTCGAGAAACGCGTACACACAATCGTGTAATCTTAACTACGTAGATATTTCCGCATACGTAATTTATTATTTTTTTTTTTTCAAACAACGTTGCATCAAAAATTCAGTCATTTCCATGATGGTGTTAAAACGCAAAAGTCAACATTATTTTTAATCTTTATAATTAACTTTCACTTTTTGAAATAATTAAATTCAAGCAAACTTATTATTTATTAAATATTAATCTAAAAATACGAATCCAAAAATAGAATATATTAACGTAAGACTAGAATTTTATCAGAAGCTCTCACGCGCATATTTTCTCAACTTCAAGCACACAGAGCATCTAAGTCAAATCAAAATTCAATTTGTCCGCAACATTCGACCTGCGTTTCTTTCGGACACTATGTTTATAAGTAGTGAGAAACGTGCTCGCACAACAAACAACACTTGAGATTGGTCAAATTTCACAATAAATGATAATGCAGGGCGATCAGAGTCGCGAAGTGGATTATAAGTCGACGATAAACATCGGCATGTAACACATTTGTCTCAATGTGTCGAGAACGATGTGTCGTTTGCGGCTCAAAGACAGCGACTGAACCGAGAGTACCAAATCGACCAAGTTAAAATTCTACTCGAGAGTGATCGGCCTTACAGAAGAGTGACGCGATAGCGTCGTCGGGGAGACTTGAGATACTGCGGGGTCCATTTGGGGCAGCGACATTATATTGCGAATTTAAATAGACCAGCGCTAAAAATAGATAAAATAGATAAAATAAATACGAAGAAAGTTGAAGTTGACAAAACAAATAAAAAATCATATGAATTAGACAGCGAAACTTGAATGCCGAGCAACGATAAAATTTCGCAGATTTATATTCGCAATTCCGAATCTTTGAAGAATAAAAAAAAAAAAAAACTATTGTTGACTATTTTGATCGGCATGAGAATCACGTACGCTTTTGCGCGCGATAAATATGTATTTAAATAAATTTAGAGTGTATCAAATATAACACTGGATCCGCGATAAGATAAAAATCTAAGCAGCCGATACCTTGCTTACGTGTTCATGTTCACCAGTGTGTTAAAATATTGTGCGCGTTGATGAGCTAAGTAGTTCATACAGGATTTCGTACTTCCGAAAAAAAACCACGCATTACTAAAGTTAAATTAATCAACTAATTGAAAGAGAAAGAGAGAGAGAGAAAAAAAAATAATATTGCGCGTAAATGACAGAGTTTTGCTGACAAAAAGTCTAAAAAATCGATTGTCGTCTTGAATTATACGTAAAATGACAGAGGCGCGGCTGTCTACACATAGATGTTACGCTTTTCAATTATACTTAATATCGGACGGATGTGTTTTTTAATCGTGACTGACGTTGAGCTAATTTGCGAACATCCTCCTCGGCGTCAAAATGGCGCTTGTCGAACACGAGACTCGGACTTTCTTGCTCCCTGTCGGTCTCTGTTATATCTGCAAACAATACATATTATTCATGTGTAAACACTATGTGTTAGTTAAATAAGCTGAATCAACTGTAAACTATTATAAAGTAACTTTAATGTGCTTTCGAGAAAATCGATGATCGATGATGTACCTGACCTGCATTTACATACGTAGAGAGACGATAAAAAACAAAGCGCGCGTTGCGCAACGCGCGCGTATTTACATTCGATCGCTATAATTGATTGCCGCGCATCGATATCCGGATCGCGAGTATATTTGCATTCGTCTGCATATAGTATATATATATACGCGAGCATAAAATATTTAATACTTATAAATCGAAGAGCGCGTTACAATAATAGTACGCGTAAATAGCTCTGTTTACATAAGCCTCGCACGATAGTTCGCGACACACATCGGCTATATAGTTAAACGCGACTTAAATAATGCCCGACAAACATCAATTCTCCTCACGCAAATTATCAGCTATAAAAAAAGTAACGATCGTCGAGAAATCAGAGTTAGTTTTTCAAATATCCAGTAGCAAACATGTGAAAAAAGAGGTTTGTTAGTAACAATAATGTAGTCACGTAGATAGACTTACGTTAAAATATTGCAAAATTAAAATTATTATTTTTTTTTTTTGTAAAAATAGTGCAAATCAATATTGTATCGTGGTGAAACTCTCTAGAAAAACAAGACACAACATTGCAACAAATATGTAGAACATCTCACGTATATAACTCGTAAAGGATCATTGATGAATGTAACTTTGGCATACAAAACTACAATAGAATAAATGGTATATACAGAAATAGAAACGGCAGAGATCCTTGGCGCGCGGAGAACAAATGAATTATTTGTCCTAGAATCGATCCTTGAGAGAGAGCGAAATATTATTCGGCCAAACGGCGTGCCGCGGGGACTTCTAAATCGCAAAACTAGAAACGTAACTGAAAGTCGCAATGTCTAGAGATCCATGTGTCTGATTAATTCACGTCTCGAACGATGGCTCCAGCGTGGCACACGCACGACGCGACGCGCTCACTCGCAGAAAGACTAGGTCAAGGAGAATCACTGTTACCTGAACTCCCTGCCCTTCCCTTCTCCGTTCTGTGCTAAAGATACACGCTTATCCGTGACACGGACGCAACGATAACGTTCCTGATTATTATACAACTTTTGTTGAAACGTGTCAATCAATATTGTTCACGGTTGAAAACCCCGGAAGGCAGAAACAAACATTTGCATAATAAACGCACAAGATCCCATGTGACCGTATAAAAATGATAAAACATCGGAGATTAGTGCGGCAATTCATTAAAAAATTGAGATAATAAAATTCACGGTCAGTAAAAAATATTGAAAAATTTTAAAATTAGGATTTAGAAAAAAAAATTAAGTGTTGGAGTTAACGGGAAAAGTTTAGGTACAAGTTTTTTTTTAAGTAATTCAATACATATTTATTGGTGAAAAAATTGCGGTTTAGAAAGTATTGGAGATGAGAAAATTATAAAAAGGAAATTATAAATAGAAAATTGTGAAAAAAAAAAGATTTTGCAAAGAGAACTTCTCTCAAGTTGCGACCGAGTTATCGGGCAACTCCCGAGAAAGATTGTAACTGACGACGAGTCGACCTTCGAGAAAAGATTGCTAGATGCTTTGACGTTTGAAATTTTCCAGCCGCATGCCCAGCGGCCGAATATGCGCGAACTTGATAACATCGCGTGCAACCGGAAGGAAGTATTTAAACTTTATGACAAACTGTTTAGACAAGACTGATGTACGGTTTGCTCTTTGGAAACTGGAACGATAGTTAACACGAAATATAACAATAGTTTTAATTAATTATATAATAATATAATTAATATTATAGTTTGCTGTATTTTCACAGTAATTCCTTATCAGAAATATACAAAAATGCTATTGTCACCATATTTGTTTTATACTTCGCAAAAAAACTGTCAAAAAAACTAACTTCTGATTTTGTAACTTATATGAAGCATGTAAACTCTATTTCTAAAAAACAATATTACATCAATCGCATCTATTTTCACTAAGGAATACAAAGACTTGTGTCTAGAGTTTGAAACTGTTATAAAAATATATATTTAAAAAATTGGTCACTCCGTTTTAAGTTTTAAATCTCTACGTTTTTTTAAAGAATTATTGTGTAACAATCGATTTCATCAAAAAAGTCACGATAACAAAATTACTAATGTCAACAATAGAGAAGGAGAAGAACGAAAGTTTACGTACCGCTTGTAACGAGAGAACTTCTGGTCGACGATACGCTTTTCTCCAGCTCGACTTTATCCTTCATGCGCTTCAGTATGCTAGTCTTGCATCCCATTCTTGAGACGAGTTCCTATTTCATCCAATACCTCTCTGACGTTTCTCGCATCGTCGGTAACTTTTGGCAGCACCCGGTGGTTGGATTCTGTGGAGCCGTCGATGACAGACGTGATCAAAGTAAAATTGTTAGGTTACATTCCGGTTTACTGCGGCAATTTTAACGCAAAATAAATCTTTGAGAAAATAAAGACGAGAAAACAAGAAATAGACAGAAATTTTTACGAGCTCGAAACTCGTTAAGTTGAAAACGTGTGTTAAAAACTTACCGCATAAAAGCGCACGCTCATGCTTGATATCAGTTCGCTTATTTCGAGATCGCAGGAAACAATCCTCTGCCCATTGATTTCGCATAACCCGTACATTGATCGAACGAATAACTCTTTTGCATTAATTAACGCGCATAAGGAATTGCGCTAATTGCGTCGATCGAACACCACTTTAAAACGACGCACGCTAAAGATCGCTCGAGTCGCGCTAGATCAAACGCTAAAACGATACGTGCCGCCGAGTCAATCGAGACTATATTCGCCGGCGTTTCCCACGCAAAACGATTAAGAAAAGATTTGTTACGTCAACGCGAGCATACTTGGAGGTTAATTGCTCACCGATTTTGCAAAGACGAGGTATCGTCAAAATCGACGAAAATTTTCCACGACGATGTTAATTCGACATTGAAACGCGCGCGTCAAGAGAAGAAGGTTTCTCGCACACATATCGGGGTCACGCGTCAGTGCGAATTTTCAGTTCTTCAGTTCGCTTTTATCTTATCTCGCCGTCGAAAGTGTGTCTACGTAAAATTCAAAAGTTCGCGGCGCATTTCGTAAATAGCTCGTATTGTCTGTACGCGGCAGCCTCCACGAGACGATCTTCTCTCGGTGTGCGCAATCACAGACGTTCTGCGCGCGAGATAGTCGTTCGCGTAATTTGTTCGATTACGAGGTGTGTGGGCATGAAGCGGGCAAATAGTGTTGTGTGCATAATTGTCGGAGGCATTGTTTTCGTAGTGATGCAATTCTATGCAGTTCCCAAAGCGGACGTTCAAAATTTTTACGAAACTGGGTACCTAAAAAAAAGCCTTCGGGAAAAAGATTTTCCGAAATTAGATCAAAATTTGTAGTAAACAGAGCTCTTTTTTAAATATTAAGAAAAACCAAAACAAAACAAAGCAAAAAAAAATCACGCAAAATATAATAGCTTTAATATTCTCGCGAGATCTTGCGAGCTGAAAGCAAAAATCGAGAGATGCGAGTCACAGAGCACGGGTCATCACAGAGTAACGAGATAAAAAAAAGCACACAGTAATAAGATAAAAAGACACTATTAGATACTTTAATAAATAGGAGCAAAGCGCTGTTAATTGGACGTAAATAGTCAGTGTTCTGTTCACCTATATATCGGTGCGCTTCGAGGTCACAAATTATCTTGATGCATCTTGCAAACGTGAAAAAAAAAAAGACAACTATCGCGAAGCTAGCGAAATAAAAAAAGTAAAATTCTTTTTCCGCTGTGAACTTTCGCGATATCACGCAACGATCACGGTGAAACAACAGCGAGAATGACGACGACGACAACGACGACAACGACGACGACGACGTTGACAACGACGATTTCACTGGCAAGCAGTTCGAACAATCGCGAACGACGCATTGTTAGGCGACACGCACTTCGAAGTGTGTACGAGATTTTAATGAAGACAGACTCTTCAGATGTAGGCAGCTCAGTGGCCTCAAACTCACTGACTAAATTGTGCGATTTCCCGAGGACGACGTAGCAGATGTCTCGCAATCTGCGTAATTCATTCGTTCAATGTCTCGCTTGAACAAAAATGCCTCCCCGTCATCTCGATATCATTTAAAATAAAGCCACGCGCGTATATTTCGAGCAGTGTTTGATCATACAAAGGAGAGTGTGCACACGAGAGATACAAGAGATCGGCGCGTGTTTGCACGGGGATTTAAGTCACAATCGTCGTTCTCAAAGACGAGGCGGGAGGAGGAGAATAGGGTAGAGAGAATTTGCGAATGACAAATAGAAGAGGCTAGGAAATTATCGCTGTAAATTTAATCGCTTAACATAACCGCTTAACATAACTGTTTTATATAAAGCGATATTCCTTAGGAACGTTTTACAATTTCCGTAACGTAAGTTATGTTTGCGCAACAGCTTTCAGCGTGTCATGGCATTTTTATATCCAATTTGCTATATTCTTTCGCCGTATTTTTTTTTTTTTTTTTTTTTTTTTTTTTTAACACGACTTCTACTTCAACGTGTGTGTCTTTGAATTTTTTTCGCGCAACTCGCGACTCGAGATGCATCATACATGTATATTGCACAAATACATTCTTAAAATAGATCGCTTGAGATTGCTTCATTTTTTTACATATATACATTAATCAATTTACATGTATAGTATCAATTTATTTATAGAGTATATATACGTATAAATTTTACTTTGCTTTTTTATACGCAACATTTCTTTGTGTATACAATCTTAACACATATATTCGTGCTCTTTATATAAAAAAAAATTTCATTATTACAATTTTACTTAATAATTCATAAAAGTTTTACTTATATATAATATATTTGACATTTTCTCTTTATACATTTTCTCCTTTACACATGTATATTTCCAGACAATATTTTATATAATATATAGAGATATATATGTACATAATGTGTATATTTTTAACATTTATAAATTATTCTCTCTACAACTCACGTCTGTATAATGCACGATTTTTTATTAAAACATAATATTTACTGATGATATTTAATTATACCTAATACAATTTTTTACTTGTTATACACTACTACTTATTTATATAAAAGTAGTTTTTATTGTATAGTTAATGTTTCATTCTGTAGAAATATTCCTCATCGTATTTTCTGACAATACTTTTTGCATGTGTGTACATTAATAAGTAAAGAGATGTGTTTTACTGCAAATATAATTCTTGTTCGATTGCCTTTCTTGAGTGTGTTTATAAATGAACACGTATCAATAATTGTTTTTCTTTATCTTAACTTCTGTTTTCTATAATGTTCATAAAGCGTAGATAATATATATGTATATATTTTAAACTCACATATTCTGATAATAATAGCAACTGCACGTCGCAAATAGTGATAAGCAATGATTCTTCCCCTTGTCTACATTTAATTCCACGTGACGCCACTTGCAAGTAAATATAGTATAAAGAAATAAAAATAAAGTAAAAATATTATTAAGAAAACTTTTAAATAGATTTTCAATCACAGAAATAAACAACCAGCGCGCGCAAAGAAACATAAAAAAAGATTTCTCTGTATTTCTTTAGGATTTATTTCTTCTTCTGTGCCAAAAATATTAAATCGTACACTTTTAGTGGTATCTGTATCGGTACTATAATTATGTACTTATTCTACATTAATTTTTTATTTTCTCTACGTAATATATAATACATGGACACATATAATATTCGTTCAGTTGTGAATTTCTGAGATATCGGTGAATTAACGAAAGATGGCCTCAAATAAATTCTTCTTGAAGATTTAGGACCATTTGTGAAGAAGTATAGTCGGTTTATATATTTTTTAATACAATACTGAGCAAAACCCAACAGTCAACGGATACGAACGTTTAAATATGGCAATTAGGAGGATAACGAGAAGTAAAGGTAGTCTTTCACAATCATAGTACGCAATTAACTTTTTTATGTCTCTATTGTCGAATTAATTTAATTATTTGCGTAAATCTAAAATATGCAAACGTCAAACTATTTAATACATTATACTACTTAACACATTATATTTTGTGATTTCAGAGGATTTTTGTAAGTAAGTTAACTACAATCACATAAGCATCTCGTTAGAAGCACATTGTACGTGTGCTTTAAGTGTTTATGTACTATATTGCACATCATAACGCTGTAAGATAATTACTCAGGTATAATTTGCTAATTTTCTAAATACAGTAATGTGTTAGCGAAGTTAGAACAACAGAAAAGTAAAGAAAGTAAGTTAAATCTCAGTGTATACACAAGTTAATCTAACATAGAAATTAATTTAAATATATAACAAATCGTAAACTATCGTCTATTTGTGTGTGTATTTAAAGATGTAATTAAGACTAGGATTATTCTAGAAAAAAATTAGATAATTTCGTTAAACACGCAATATCATTAATTTTAGCAACAATCTTTGAAAATACGAAACCTAAGTACGTACTTAGAAATCTGATATAATAGAACATTTTTTTTTTCTTAAATTCTGGTCTGATTATAACACGTTTTCAACTGTTCAATACTTTTTTATCAACTTTTTATTCTAGTGCATATTCAGATCGAGTGCGATCTGACATTTTTCACATTTTCTCGATTACGTGTATTTTGACAAAAATTATAGAAAATATCGAGGTATATCAAAACCTTCGCGTGACTGTGCAAAGTTACAGTTAACATGCAGAATTATAAAGTGATAAATTCTAGTGGACATTTTGAGAGGACGTACAAGGTTCGTTGCCAAATTTGTTTTAACACACATAACCATTAATTTATGCGTTACTTTGTGAGAGATACAACATATTAACTTATAAGACACACTGTGTTTGTAATTTCGTTGATTGAGTAAAAGATTTACGGACAGTTTTTATTTAATAACCCCCCTCTTTAATGTTGCAATTCCTTCATATTTTTTTTTCTCGATAAGATGTATATAATTTTTAATTAAGGTACTGTGTCGCGATAAAAACGTAAAACCCCTGCCGGTGGTGCAATTGCATCTTCCAAAGAACTGCTTGCGATTTTGCGCCGATTGCATAAATTTTAAAGATTGGTCGCCAATACTGGACAGTATAATACGAGATCGGAGCTTGTCAAAAATTTGCATATACAGTCGATGTCGTCGGAAAAAGATTAGAGAGAAAGCGAATACGGAAGAGAAGCTCGTGAGATTACGGTAAATGACAAAAATGTCTTAGATAAAATCGCCTAGACAATTTATTTTTATTTGGCAGATGTGTTCTTTTCAACATGCAGATTAATACATTTAGGTAGTGACAATAATTAGTACTTTTTAAAATACTTCTGTTTTACTCTTCTTTCTTTCTCTATCTCCCAAACTTAACACTTTCATTATTTGAATTATTTCGCTATATAGCACATTCAAAACATCTGCTTTAAACAATGCAAAACAAAATTAATAACATATTTATCTCCTCCCACAAATGCAAAATATATTCATTAAGAGAATAACGTTAGATTTTTCATATGTGAGCTTAAGGCGGGTTTACTATATATGTTTCTTCTTACTTTGATTTCATACATATGTATAAATATATAGAAAAATTTATATATATTTTATTTACAATTTTTGATATTATCTCTAAAGATAGGAATTTGTAAATAGTACCGCTACAAGCGCGTAAAATATCTCTTAATGAGCAAATAATAAAATATCACAAGCATCTTTCTTTTCGGATACTACTTCCTGTAAGTTTGAGTTTGCAGGTAACATTGCGCGCGCGCGCGAAGAGATACCAAAGGAATGGTCAAAATTGGGGAAAGTTAAAAAAAATATATATACATGACCAATGCCAACAAACGATAATACATTTAAAAAATTGCAAAATGGCAAATGGACTGGCATTCTACTCGCACATTCAGGAGATGCGCGCGCAAGGAACGAGAACAGCCAGTCTTGTACACGAATTATCTGCTACGACGTTTCGCCCAATCCCTTGCTGATTGCTTGAGAAACTCGTTGATGATCACCAGTCTGGCACTCGATGGTGTACCTTTGCCACTTAAGTATCTAGAGATTCTAAGCGATGGGTTGGCAAGTAATCGAAATCTGCAAAGCTTGTCGCTGGCCAGATGTCGCATAGGAAACACAGGTTTGGATCACGCATACAATTTATAAAACCAACACTTGAAATTTGCAAAGTACTTATAAATTAAAATTACTATCAAGTTTGGATAATAGTGGAGAAAAAAATTTCAATTGTCACGAAATAACATAATTGATATTCGTATCTTGTTTTGCAGGATGCAATATGGTGCTGGAAAAGTTGCAGCACAATTTGAGTCTTCGTATGTTAAATCTGTCGTCGTGCCGTCTCACCGATAGAAGCGCTAGTATGTTGTCGCTGTTTTTGAAAAAGAGAAAAACGGACTTGTTGCAAACCGCTTTGAAAGAATCAAAGGTTCCTCGAGACGGTCACCCAATAGCGGTACGTATCTCATTAAGCAACAATATGTAATTAAACCGATATCTTATTACACAATATTTTAATGTTGCACTTATATATTTTTCAGGAGGAAGGATTGCAAGTGCTGATACTCGACGGGAATTGCAAATTCGGCGACGCTGGCTTGCGACAATTGATACGTATGCTGAAAAACGACTTCTGGTTGAAAAAGCTGTATTTACGGTCTTGCGGGATCAGTCAACGCGGAGGAGAAAGTGTGCTCGGGCTTCTGCAAACGAACAGCGTGCTTACGCACATTGATCTCCGAGATAACAAAGTACCCGCTGACATGTTGCAAATTATTCGCAAATTTCTGAAGGCGAGAAAACGTAAAGGAGAAAGAATGCCGATGAAGAAACGATTGTTTAGCTGTAAACGTATTGCGATGATTTCGAAGAACATGTTCTCCCAAAGCGAGTTGAAAAAAACCAAACGTTCCAAACATCAAGCTGTAAGTGGTCCAAAACTCTCTTTTGTTTACTTAACAATTTAAAATTTAATATTTTACATTTATTCTGTATGTTTACTTGCACTTTATGTATTATTTACGTATTTGTAGGATCTTCAATTAAAGAAACAACACGGTTGTACTTCGCAAATGTGGCGAAGACCCGGTGGCAAGAAATGTGAACCGCACAACGCAGTTGCGAGAAATCGCACAAAATGGACGAATGCGTTTGAATTGAAAAGATGCTTGTCGTTTGTGATAGAGAGTAATCGAAATCTGATGTCGACTTTGGAAAATAGCACGGAGTTTTTCGCACTCGAAAGAAATCGTCGTTTAAGAGCCGAAGAAGCGTATCGCAAACTTCAGCCGCGGTTCAAAAATCTGTTGAACAAAATTGCCACGCAACATTCTATTCACTCAAAACTTATCTATGAAAATAAAGTTTATGCTAATGTGCAGAACGTGTTGAACGAGTTAAAAATATCCATGAGAGACAAAATGCTAAAACCAGACGAAAGAAGTTTAAGTGCAAAAGCCAGCGAACACGAAGAGAGATCCATTGTTCACAAAAATTAGCATATCAAAGCAACTTTGTTTATTTTGTTACGAGAAGATTGATGGACTTCTTTAAATGGAAGACACGATAATTGTATACGTTTTTTTATACTTCTTTTATACGTAAACATTTAGTTACTCGATAACTTGAGTACAAATAATTTGTATTAATGGTTTACACACACATTTTATATTGTACGAGTTGATGCAAATAAAAATAATATACACCGTGTACAAATGGCATATTATTTAAATAATACAACCACATTTACCCTTTCTAAAACGTATTTTTATTCAGTATTCCTTTCCTAAAGATAGTTACTTACGTTCGAGTCATATCTCTAGAAATAAAAAAAGAAATTACGGAAAATATAACATATATATTGCGCCAGAGAATTCTCTAGAGAACTATATCTACGAAAAAATTAATTTTTTTTAATTAGCAGTTTATTTCTCAATAAAATGTGTAAAATTGACGATTGAGACGATTTAAACTTGATTTCGGTACAGTATCTGTCATCTAACAGCAACGGAACGAATCAATCGAGCCGCTGAAGACTTACTTTGTGCGTACAGCAGACACCATCTAGCAACAATGCAGGAAAATTAATAGTTAAAACAAATAAATTGACGATAAAAAATAGTCACTCCCTACGTATAATCCCGTAACTCCAAAACGCAAATTTTAGAGAGCAATTTAAAAGTTTAAAGCTTCATAGTTTAAAGTTTCTTTAGTTAAGGGATTTTTCGGTTTAAAATTTTTACCTTACTTATGAATATTTTTTTTTAATATTTGGTGACGATAAAGAACATGACTTTCTAAGTGTCACTATGCGACAAACCAAAAATCTCGTATATGACACTTATGTAATTATACGCAGGGAGTGACGAAATATGAATCGATTGTGTGAATCGCAGTTACACCTGCTGGTAATACAACCTGCTTTACTGTGCGATGATATGTAACGTCACACATGGTATCTCATGCATGAGTAAAGTCCGTGTTATCAGTATACATGTATACTGATAACACGGACTTTACTGTGCAACGATAACGTATCCATATCTTTCGCATTATCGACGCGTCGTACTAAAAAAGATACGCACAGATGGTGTTCCGTACACCATGTTTCTCTCTCGATATTTTAAATGTAGAAAGGACGAGAAGAGAAATAACACGCGAGTGCGCATTTTTAAATCAAAAAACGAGAAATAAAAAGAACACTTGAAAACAGATCTTGCTGTTTAATTTTGATTTAGTTCGCGTTTGTATAATTTTACAATAATACGATATTAAACAAAAGAAATTAATTTCAATGGCGCTTCGTGATTTATCTTGTTAAGATAGCAAGGCTCCCTGACTTAACGTACTTCAACTACTTCGCCGGCTACTTTTCCCTCATAATCTCTGGCGCGATCGCATAAAATTACTCCCACTCTCGTGGTTATTTTGGCACTGGCGCACAAACGGCCGGAAACTTTTCGGCCGCACTGACGCGCGGGCTTATGCTAATCACGGGGAATTCTAATCGCAGATTATAATTGTTAATTCGTTAAATGATCCAACAACTTTTGTCTTTTCATTTTCCCCCAGCGCGCGGTTTCCTCATTTAAAACTCGTTGATTTGTATGCGGTAATATTGTTTCCTACTTTTAACCAATGGCAAAATTTTACTTTATTCATGAACTACATCCTTAACGTTATCCTCTTAGAGCTCGCGCACGTTTAAAATTGCAAACTAATTTACACGCAAATTTTCCGCGTTCGTTATATTATTTATCGTTGTATACATTATAAATTGTCGTCGTAAAAACATAATTGCAAAATTAATATAAATAAATGTAATTCGTTCCCCCGTGGTTCTCTTTCAAAATTATTTCCATAAAAGAATGCAAAGTTCTGCAAATTAATGCACTGAGTTTAAATCGCGTTTGAAATTTCGTCAATATTCCCGGATTCACGAGCGCGAATCGATCTGATTACAATTGTAAAAGAACACATCAAAATTTTAATCTCGCGCGTATACGTTTTTCTCTTTCTCTCTCCCTCTCTCGCACAACCGCGAGTTTACAATTATTTCTGCTTCTCTCTCGCTTTAAGTATAATATTTTTATACGCACGTATATGCGTGTTTACAAAAAAAGATTTTATCACTCGCATATTTCTCTCTGTACATATTAAAGTTTCTAATATTACATTAATATAATAGGTAGTGAATAAAAGAGAATTTCGAAGTCACGCTATGACTATTCGGAAAAGAACTCGCTCGCGGATAAATTCTATCTGTTGGACGTTCTCCGGATATGTGCATGCCGGCACTCGTCGTGCGGCCAGCTGCAATTAATCCGTTTTATAGATGCTGCCGATGTAAATGAAGTTTCCGGTCGAGTGTTCGGAGCGGGAAGAGAGCGCGCGCGTTGCGGTGGGAAAAGCGAGTCGAGCTTTCCCCGGCCCGTTCGATGCTCGTAAAAAAGACCGTGGCTTTAACCGCCGGGTTGTAAAACCCTCTGGAAGCAATTAATAATAACCGCCCTTCGCAGTTCTCGCTCGAACGATAAAAGCGAGTCCGCCCGCCTTTTCGACGCAATCGTATCGCAATGAGCGTATAAACGTCGCGAGAAATGTTCGCTTCCTGCCTTGCTCTCTTCAATTGTGTATACGACGACTTAAAAAATACATCCCAATTCTCCATTCTGATGACGCACTTTGCTGGGAAGAAGGAAACTAGCAATTCTCTCTCGCATAAATTAGAAAAATATTAACACGTATTACTTGATGGATTTTCAAATCTGCAAGCAGGGTTTAGTTAATAAATCTGATCTCCAGTCGCAAGTCTTTCTGAGAAATGTGCGATAATCGTGTATCGGGAAATCATTGATCGATACGTCGAGCGTCAGAATTACACGATGAAGAGTTGCAACGAGACTTCTCTCGGGACACTCTCTCTCGACCGACGAGAACGACGGGAATTTTGTTCCGAAATGACGAAACATACAAACACACACACACACACAAACACATACACAGTTGGTGGACAAATCGCAACGTCGTGTCGAGATATCGCGTCGACCTTTGCGAGGCCTTCCTCGTCGTTTCTCCGGCTATATCGGGCGATTCTTAGCTCGGTGATGGATGAGAGGACGCAGACTTCGTCGACAGTGCAATACCGGACTCGGAGCGAGGAAAGACGTGAACGCAACACGTGCAGTCCGAAACGTATATACGTTTTGCGATATTGCCAGAAGGAAGATAGCAGCGTAATACGCACGGCTAGGATGAAAACAGTTGTAAATACGCGCGAATCTAAGATTCTTTTGAGAAACATCTTGCGTTTCCGTTTCGATTGCCTTCCACTTCAAGAACCGTGAGTTGTACGCGAAAGAGAATTTATTTATTCCGAAATTCTTATTTTATCTTTTTTTTTAAACAAAATGAAAATTGAACCATGTAGAACATATGATGAAAGATCATTGTGAGAAGAGGCGCATGTGAGTCAGAAATAAAGCAGTAACCGAAACGATCTTTATTGTAATTATTGTAAGTCTGAATAAAAACAAATACATACAAATAAATATAATAGAACATATTGAAATAATATATATAATATTATCATATATATTATATTATGTTTTTATAATCTCTTGTGCAAAAAAACCCGCGTTCAGAGAGAACTACAATAGAATACAAAAAACAAACCAACACAAATAAATTAAAACCGCAAGATTTTATTGAACGCTTAAATAATACAAGAAAAAACCTTATATTTTTTACGTTTATTAAGCAGTTATGATTTAATGCACCCAAGTGTATGTGTGTGTGTGTGTGTGTGTGTTTTGAACAGATTTCGCAGTATCGAGGCGAGAGAAGAGGGTATTTCTCGATTGCACGCGCGCGCGCGCGCACGAAAGAGTGAAACCAAACACCAGTTTTCGCCGGATTCCTTCTCCGGTGAATCTCGCAGACGCGAAATACTCCATCGGCCTCGTCCACGTCTGTTTATTCTCAATTTACCGCGCCAAGGTGGAAATCGCGGCACGAGTTTACCGTGCAATTTTCAATCCTTTTCTTCACCGTCTCGTCTCCGCCATCCGTTGCATCTCTCGCGCGGCTCCGCGCGACGACGCGCCCGGTCGTCCTTCTCCTCTAACCCGTCGCAACAGCCTGCAGCAACACACTCCCCCCGTCCGTCACCCTCTATTATTTACCACTTCGAAATGTCGAAGATGCTTCTTTCCGCTCCGGTGCTCGAAAAATTTCATCCGCAGTCTCTTTGGTCCGTTTTCTTCCCTCCCTTTTGACAGAACCCTCTGGTTCGAATGAAATTCGGCGACGATATTAAATTGCTGCGATGAGAATTTTTGCGAATGTGTAGGTAGGTAAAATAATTCGCGACTCTTAAAATTCTTTCTTCGGCGATATCGCGATATTTTATCATTCGAAATCGTCGAGAGTAACGAATCGTGCTGAACGCGTATATCCGTTTGAAATCACTCGTTCGCATCGTTGTTAGTATTGCCGTTTTTTAGTTTTTATTTTTTATTTTTTATTTTTTTTTTGGAAATCCGCAGAAATCTATCCCGCGAGCACCCTTGAAAATCCCCAGAATTTCTCTCCGGTATATAACCTATGCAGTTTGACGGGATAAGGATCGGCGGGAGGATGAGAAAAATGTGCCATTCCACGTGCAGCGTCGATAGCGACTCGTCACGCCAAACCCCTCCCGGGTTTCCGCGCGCGCGCTTCGGAAGGGAAAAATCCGTGAGGCGGGTTGAGGAGCGGGCAAGGGAGCGACGTTTTGTCGCGCGCTCTGCCCGCGCTCACATGTCGAAGTTATGAAAATTAATAAGAAAAATTGCCCCCATAAATTCGACGTCTTCTTCGCGAGCGCGCATCCCGTTCCCGGCAATAAAATTAGAATTATGTCGCGGAGGCTCGAGCGCGCCATCCCCTTTCAGACAACTTCGCTTGTGGATCGCAACGTGACGGCAGGAGGGACGAGCGCACGCGGGCGGTTGATAGCGTTTGTTAGCAACGCCGGAATGTGTCCTCCTGGGTTCTTAAACGTATGAGTTACCCCGCCAAGATTACATCCATGCCTTACATCCACGCCGAGCCTCTCTCTGCCAAGCGGAGGTACCTATGGTTATTAAATTCTGGAACCACCCCTTTCTCCCGTTTTCTTCTCTGCTGTTCTCTCACTCCCTGTCGTTGATCTTGCGCGCT